GATGGCATGCAAAATAAACTATAAGTCAAATAAACAGGGCTCCATTCTGGTAAAATACTGTTTGTATCGCTGAGCTGAGGTGGGGTCAACAACTTCCCCTTCAACTCAAAATGTCCATGAAAACTTCAAGCGGCCCAATTGTAATACAAACATTATTTATGTAAGATTTTAGCAAACAGATTCTGGAGGTGAGGCGAATCCTGAAAGTTTCTGAGCAGAAGTCTTGAAATTAACTCTTATACCTGGATGAATTTATCTTCTTTAACATCAGGGTTTAGAGAGCTGAGATACAGTCGCATTAGAAACACTGCTTTGTCTACCAGAGACAGTTGATTAGTCTAAGCACATATAGACATGCTTAGTCTGACAAGCAGACTGCATCCCAGCCTTCCATTTGTCTTCCTGTGATTGTTGTTGCTGATTGTATTTTGAATTTCGGTGACGTACAAAATTTAGTACAGCCTGAATTGAGCAGAGTGCCTATAGATGACAGATGAATGATAGACTGGATGAGTGGAAAAATAAGGTTTCTTAGTTAAATTTAGCAGTTCTAATCAGACAAACTATCTGAAAATGTGTCAAACATTAGACAGTAACACTTGCTGCTGTCAGCCTGTTCGTTTGGGCAGAAAAGTAAGCGGTATGTTATCTACTGTAAATTAAAAGAGCTGTGTAGTTTTTTGCATACAAAGCAAAAGTAAAGTATAATTTGTACTTGTATTAATCTCTCTTCACTTTACATTGAAAAGAGTTGCTTTATTTACACAGAAACTTTGGGTTTATGTCCATTTAGGTTCACTCTGGTGAAGCTGTTTGATTCGGCTGCTCAACTGACACTTACACCCTCACACTGGTTTCACTGGTTTGTAGCATTACTATTTAATTGGGCTTTGTCACTGAATGTAAGATTATGTAATCCTCTAGGTCTACTTCTCTCCGCTCTGTTCTCACACTCTGATGATGAGATACAACATCTGCAGCTGGAAATGTCTCATCTTTCCGACGGAAGATCTGATGAGACTGAACGGCGACATTCAGGGTTGTTTAGACTGCTCAGCTGTTTGATGCGGGACAGAGCTTTGGCTGAAAAATGATCTCTTAGTAGCACCACATTTCCCTCCACTCCTGCCTCTTGAACAAAACCCCTCAAAAGTTTCCCCCTGATCATCACTCTGCATACAAAGGTGCAGAAGGGGGGATGCCCACAGTTCCTCGTTAGGTCACAGGTGGGGCTCAGAGTAAACAAAGCAGACACACAGATTCACAAGAAGTCCACATCTATCACCTGTCTATGTTCCTTATAATCCACTATGAGTTTCCTGTGCACCAGAAGAGGCCGTGACCAGGATGAAGGAGCAGAGAGCAGGAAACAGAGCGGGTCACCCTTTATTATTAGGATTATTCATCGGAGACGTGTGGAGGTGAAGGGCTTTGGCGAATGTGCTTGTTTATTCCTTGTTTATGTGACAACAATGGCTTGTGTTAACAAAGGTTTGATGACCTTGGGTTATCTTCGACTGCCTTGTGTATAAATATCAGCTGGATAAATATAGCTAGCGTCTGTCTTCCTGTCACTTTCACTGTGATGAGACAGGATAGCGACCTTTTGTTAAAAGTCTGGTCTGCTGCTGTTTTAGAGACGTCATGGTGTTATTTTGATGGTTATAATACATTGACTTTGACACTGTATATTCCATACACAGCATTTCCATAATTTTTACTTTAAAAAAAGAGAGGCACACACATCAAAGTTGCATAAAGATTAGCACAGCTCTCTGCTGATTTGTCTTGCACTGTTATAAGTTGCATTTGTAAACAAGAGATTTATCATTTTCTTCTTTTCACAACCAAATGTATCCCGTATTAAGATCAAGAGAGAGGCTGTTTTTTCACAGTGCTTTGAACAGCAAAGTTTCCAATCCTGCAGCATCAGCTTAAGCCATTTAATTCATGTCTAACATATTCAGTCTTTCTGCACATGGTCATAATTACTTTTGTAGCACTTGAATGAAGATAAATGTAGATTTCAATGTGTGTCATGACCGGCTTACAACCCCCCTCTAAATGATCAAATTAACGATTTTAAAGTTTTTAAAAGGTCAAAGGTGGAGGTTAACCTAGTGTTCAGTGCAGAATTATAATATATCTTTTGTTTTCAAACCTGCTGCTTTATCAGTTTGGAAAATTAAGTGATTTTAATGATTTTAAGAATCATTTTCCTAGAGAGCACATGCAGGGATAACATGCTCAATGTCACATACACAAACTACGCTCAGACAGTGTGGTGTCACCAGTTTACATCAGCACTGTGTTCAGCTGGGCGGAGGTCACGTCTGGCAGTTGGAATTACACGTGCACATACATGGCTACATGCGAACAGACTATTACAGCATCATGTGCAGGCTAATCACTGACTACTATCTTTGTGTGAACCAGAAGTATTTCCTGCATCTTGATCCTTAAGTCATATTACAGACTGAAGGCCATTAGGACTCCGATTAGACTCTGATTCTCTCTCACTTTTTCCTTTTCTGCTTGTCGTTTGTAACAAACAATAGTTTAGAAAACATCATTGTCTTGTCTGCAGTAAGTTAGGGGACTCACTGGCTATCCTCTAATGACCGTTTGTTCTTTTGGAGACGATGGCTGATACTTTAAAGCTCCTGGTGCAGCCGGGAGATGCTTAGATAATGAATAATGAACATCTGGGCAGTGACTTCCTTTTTGTGTGCTGGTCATTGTTTACAGTCCAGTTAGCCATTTGACATGTGAGAGAGTAGTTTTGGTGAGTGAATGGCATCTGTTTTAACATTGCTGGCTGGTATCTGTTGTTGGAAAAAGGGTGGTTTCCCTGTCACCATAAGGGTACTCTTACGTTTCATTTCCCAAACACAATAAAGAAGGTATTGACTGGTATTAAGTCTCTGACTCCAATTCCTCAATTACCCTTTTCCCACGTGGTTGTTGATGGGAAGAAGAGAAGACGACGATTCGGAAGAGTTCTCAGTTGATGTTCTATTTATTGTTTACAATGAGTCAAGAATGTGCAACAGAGTCTCCGGGTTCAGAACTAGCTCGCCCTAGCAAATAGACGGCTTAGAGGTCTGAGCGCTTCAGAACCAAGGCTAATGTTCACTTGAACCCTTCATAGTAGATGTAGTAGATGCTCCACCTATCTAGACAAAGAGTTTGCTAATCTGGGTTTTGTCTTTGCATGTAGGCTGGTTCCTTGTTCCTCGTGTGGGTCCACCTGTTTACCAAATAAGGAGTTGTATGACACATTCTACACTCATATTTAACACACACACAGTCAATCATACTGTTTTGCTGTTGCTGGGCAGATAGTCTAAGGCCCCGTTTATACGTACCCTGTTATTTTTAAAAACAGAGACATTAACCAACGTTTGCACCCTTTTTTTATGTGTAAATGGAGAATACGCCTGTGAAAACGATGCTTCGTAAAATCTCTGAACAGAGTGGAGATTTTGGAAAACTCAGTTTGCACGTTTGCATGTAAACAGAGAAAAACAGAGATTCGGCTAGGTGACAGCAGATTGTGCGCAGGAAACTGGATTAAATGCGACGTTGTTTACAATCTATAATCTATGTTTAAAATCTATGGTGATCATGGATGCATGCAGAATAGCAGTTGCATTTAAGCTGGTGCAATCCCTTTGTATTTGTTAGCATTTGCAAATTCAAGTGCTGTCCAATGTGAAGGAACAGAGACGACTGAGTGCTCAAAGGTCAGCAATGTTGCAGCAACTTCTCCCTCCGACACGAAGAGTGTGTTTAGCACTCCTCGCAGGTTTCGCAGGTTTTGAGTCTGACCCGGGAAAATGAAGTGGTTCTGCCGGAGGAGTGGTGTGAAAATTTGTGGATGTCTCAGGCATTGCTGCGGTCGTTCTCCGAGTTGCTGCGTCCCTACATCGAGGCTGATAACACCAGCATGTGGTCCTCGGTCTGATGGCATACACGGGTTAGTGTAGACAAAAACTTTTCTGAAAACGTAGCGGTGTGAACGCAGTTTCTTTTGTAAATGGAGAAATGCTCTGAGAAATAAACAGTCCTCTTCGTTGTCGTTGTTGTTATATAAGCCAAAATTATGAATGTATATAAAGGACATGGCCATTTACACACAAGGCTGTTTGTATATTGTGCAGGTGAGGGTTTGTTTATTCAGTCACAGAGTCTGCGTCTTTCTCTTTCTTTCCTGTCTGTTTTGTTGTCATGCTGTCTGTCTTTTTCTGTCAGTCTTTCACATGTAAAATGAAGCCACGCAAATGTATTATGTAAATGCATTGTATTTTGCTATAAACAATAAAAGTTGTGTATTGTCTGTGTAAATGTATACACACAGAAATGTGACAAACAGCACAAGTATGTGGCTGGTGTTGTATGACAATGACATAGCTGCCTAGATCACACGATGGCCGCTGAGTAATGTGTTCAACTGACATGCTGGCTGCACAAAAACAATGCTGACAAAAGTAATGAGATGAATCCTTGGGTGCAAAACAATAAGTTTCACTAAAATCAAGTGATCTAAAAAGTCAAACGATTGCCAATTGAAAGGGATCTTTACTCTGGAGTCTGAGTTTTAATCTTACTGAAAATGTTTTTTTTTTCTCCAGCTACATGCCTGAAACCTTACCAAACAGCAAACACGTGAAGCTGCAGTTTAAACCAGCTTTTGGAACTTTTTTGTCTCCTCTCAAGCATGTAGTGGTGTTGTGGTAAACTCAGGTGTTTCTGTAAAACCAGCTTCGATGTAACTTAAAAAGACTACACTGTTTCAAAGTTGAAAACAAGACATTTTTTACAAGCACGTCTAGCCGTCATCACTTTGAAATGTAGGTTCATTTTGTACCTGTGTCTCTTTTAGGTTATATAACACAGTAAAATTACATAAACTGAGCGTCTGTATGTTTGGTATGTGATTGTACATTCACATGTGTCTTTTTATAGAGTCTGAGAATAATGAGACGTTGGCACTGACATAGCCGCCCATTGTTTTCAGAGCATGTTTATTTACAAAGACAATTTTGAATGCTCAATACTAGACGTACATTTCTGTGTGAAATACTCTGCATAACAGTTCATAGCTATTTCAAATATTTTGATTTTAAAAAAGAATTAGAATTAAAGTTACAGTACATCATCCTTGTCATCATATTTGTTAGCGGTTGCAAATGTTAAGAAAAGTTAAAGGGATGTTCATACTGTATAAGTGAATGTGGAAAAAACAGATCATACAACTGTTTTCAAAAATCAAAACCACAAAACTGCTCAGCCAGGCTTTGGTCAAAAGTTGTATTTTAAACACATGATCCAGGTGGTTTCATTTTGAATTCGTACAGTTTCATATTTTTTAAGTTTATTCAAGTGACTGACGTGTTTATTGGCCACATTCTACAAGTAAAACTCTTCATTTTAACCACTGCCTTGATGCAAATGCCTCGCCGTCTCAATGTCAGGTCAAATAGATGAAATCCAGATTTTGTATGGAGGAGGTAAATGGTAGTGGGGCTTCTTGCCAAAACACGGATATTATCACATTTGATGCCCTAAAAATTAACAGTGAACTTTAGGATTTTAATGACTTTTCTATAAGAACAACATTTATCTCAGTGCTGGGCAATTGTTTATTTTTCAAACAAATGTTAGCCAAGTCTTAACGATTTTAAAAGCCAACTGAAACCTTTTTAGTCTTGCTTTTAACTACATTGTACATCATTAACTCTGTTTAAGTGTTTTAGCATTTATCTATTCTAGTTTTAATCAAAGGATCGTCTTTTATTGAGCTATTTTGGTGCTCTGATTTTAGTATCTTTTACTGTTGTTTTTATTTCATTTTATTTATTATTTCTTAAATGTCATTCTTTGTTTCTTTGTTTTTAGATTTTAACCTAAACCTCCAGTGTTTCCTTATCTTGAGTTTTAAAATGACGTTTCCTTAGTGCGCACATTCCTGTTTCCATGAAATCAAGCCCTTTTTTAAGTTTATGCATTTTAATACTGTTTCTGTTGCAATTAGATCGTGGGGTGGGAATGAGGGGTTGGGCTGGGGTAAATTTGGGTATTCTTTGTTTCTTTTATTCCTTTGTGCTACATGTTATGTATGTAAAGTGCTATATAAATAAAGACTGATTGAGACTGAAGTGTTTGGCATTAGACGTATCTGCCTGCTCATATTCAGTTTTGCTGGCAGGTGGATCTGGACCAATCCCAATCCTTCATTTAAGGTGATGACAGAGGAGGAACTGCTTCATAAACAATCAAGGTATTTCTAATAAAGAGTCCTACAAGGTGCTTTAAATAATTGAGTTTGGTACCCAGCCTGCAGCAGCTGTTCCAGACTTTGAAAAAGACATGATAGAAATAATCGGTCTTTGTTGACAATAATGTTTGTTTGGCAAGATCACCATTAATTTCAGTCTCTTTTATAACCATCTTCGAATTCTTCAGAGTAACTTTGTTGAAGGTAGAAGTCTAGCCTACCGTGACAGCATGGTTTTGACAAATGTACTCAGAGCTGACAACAAAGAAAACTCTGCCTGAACATTTGATGTTGGGCAGCTGTGAGAGTGTGCCCACCCTCGTTAATGAAGCTGGATAACAGCTCTCATTATGAGCACACTCCATTTAAATGAGCCATAATAGCACCTCTTGATAATCAACCTGATAGGCGCCCCCTTTGGACTCTATACCCTTTCATTGGTCGGCTGGACAGCATTGCGTAGACACTGATAGGCCATCAGGAGGAGGGTGGGTGTGGCAGGCTGGCTGTTGGCCAACAAAATTGATAGGACCCATAGGACAGAACTTGGCTAGCAGGGATGCTAATACAAGTAGATAAAAGGCAGCGACGTTGCGAGGCTTTGTGTTGATTAAGGATGGGGACTGGTGTGACCCTTTATCTCAGGCACATTAAAGCATCAAGTACACTTTGTCATTAGACATAAACACCATAATGGTTTTAGGAAGCTATACCATAAATCACCCAACAACAACATGTTGGAGAAGAATATGTAAATGTTGGCTGAGCTCCATGTAGCTGCTGATGTTTTCAGGCGGGGTCCGGCTTACTGTTAGTACTCTCTTAATACTGGGACAGTCGAATAAGAGGGTGAGACTTAGGAATATAAAGACAAGTTTTTAAATATCAAGGCCTTACAACCTACACCTGTGTCTATTTCATAAGCAAGACAACCACTACAGCTCCAGCGGCATGAAATCAAATTTAGGGTGTTGGAGCTCCGTTTGTGTCTGGACACTTTTTTCTGCACTAAAAAAGCAAAATAAGACCTCGTAAAAAACCAGCAATGGGCTAACTTTACAACTTTCATAACTGACGAGCACAAAATAAGCTTACAAGCCCAATAAAGATGACAATCATACTTAAACCGTTTAATCAGGGACTTGGGAATTTAGAAATAGTTTAAAAAGATATATTGCTAGCTGGAAAATGCCCAAAAAAAATCATCAAAAGGCATCAAAACCACAAATAAAAAAAGCAAATAAACACAAAACAGTATAAAAAAAATTTAAAAAGAAAAAAACAGTGAAATTGTGTCTTTCCTCCTCAATCCACTGATATTGATGAAAAAGTGTTATCTCCACCACAAAAGCTTGATTTACATGATTAGCTGTCGAAGGCTTCTTTAAAAATCAAAACTACAAAGCTCGGTTCCTTTAATCCCTTCCTCCAATCAGAGTTCAAAGTTAAGAAAACCCACTCTTTGAAGTTGGTTGAGTGTCAGTGAGGTTTGTTGATCAGCATCCTTGATATCAGCATCCTTGAGGATGTACGTTTACAACAACATTTGTGCTGCAGTGGTGTTGTAGGTTTGACGTACTGTAGGTGCAGTATGATGCAGAGTGATGCAGAGGAGGGGGGGCCAGAGTTGCATGTACTCGAGAAGAACGTGACCCTTTCTCAAATGAGAGTGGAAAAAACGATGGCTTGATAAAAATATCTTGGCCCATCTCGTCTTCCCCTGGGGGGCTGCCTCCCCTGCTTTCATCCGGTAGCCTGGAGGGAGAAAGAAGGAACAAACAGGGTGGAGAAAAAGAGGAAGAGCACTGAGAGAAAAAAGTAAAAATGTAGAGAATGAGTGTAAAATGAAAATTCAAAGACTGTGAGAAAAGGACAAAAGTGAATGAATTAAAGAAAGAAATGAGAAACCCATGACAGAAGACCAGATACAGTTATTAAGCACCTTTAACTTTGCTCATGTAATGACCAGCAGTGACTCTGTTGTGATTAATGGATGGATGAGCTCTCTCTCTCTCTCTCTCTCTCTCTCTCTGTCTCTCTCTCTCTCTCTCTCAGTTTCCCCTCCCTTCCTTGTTTTCTGTCATCTGCTCTGTTTCTGTGCCTCTATATAACCCCTGACACAGACCCTGTCTCATCATAGCTTGGTAGGGTGGACAGGTGTCAACAGAAGTTGCATGTTAGTGTGAAACAGAGCTTCACACGTTAGATTAAGTATTCTGCTGCTGATTGTTGTTTATTTCACAGATATTATAGGAGAGGTATTTGACTGTTCTGTTTCATCTGTGCTGACTGGAGCTTTAAACAGACAAACTACAGACTTTTAATTTAAAGGCATATCAGCAGCCAGGTGAAGATGATGCACCGATCAGCACTCAACCTCAGAATGACCTCACTGCTGCTGCTGCTGGTGGTGCTGGTGATGGACACAGGTAAGACATTTTTAAAGTTTTACACAAATATCTTCTTGTTGATGCTGTATTACAGACACATTGGGAGAAAGACTACACTTAAGAATTAAACATGAAATGCACCAAGAATTAAAAGGGTTTTAAAGGCACTCCTATAAATGCTCAACATCTTTCTGCAGGAGCAAAGAATGATGAGGTTTCTTTTTTTCTCTTAAAGCTAAAAAAAAATCAGCTGACACTATAACTCAAATGTGTATTGCAATGCTTTATATATAACTCCAGACTAATATAGTTTGCCCCTCATGAAAGGGGTTGTCCAACATTTTATTTCCAGATGAGAAGATTGTTTGACATTTTTCCTTTCTGTATAAAATCACGAGTAGTTAAATAAAAGGCAGACAATGTTGCAAAAAAACTCAAGGACACTCTCCTCTTCACCTCCACAGAAGCAGGGATGAATATCCTCGCCACCAAAGTGGACATTATGGTGGGAAATGAGATCTTACTGCTCTGTAAAGGTGAGTCAGTTTGATTTTATCCTAAGACTGTAGTAAAGTTAAATCTTTTTCATCATTTTAAATCTTCTCGTGCTTTCCTTACTTGTCTGTCCTCTGATCCTAGCCGGAGGAGAAGGAGACATAACATGGCAGAAGGATGGGGAAGACATCACAGAAGACATGGCAAAGGTTTCAATGGTGGATGAGGCCTCCTCAAAATTAGTCATTGAGAAGGCAAAAATGACGGACTCAGGCACGTACACCTGCCTTTGCGAGTTTGAGAGTGGACACGCAGATCATACTGAAAAAATAATCTATGTTTACGGTAAGTACAGACAAGCTCTGAACATTTTTCTGTTACAATAAAAATCTGTATTTTTTGGAGACTCAACATCATATTCTCCTTCTCTTCTGTCAGAGGGGCCAACATTTAATGGTACCTCCACCTATCACGAGTTTCTAGTGGGTACAACGGGTCGGGTGCCTTGTCTGGCTGCAGGACAGCCAGCTGTGGAGGTTCACTGGTTCAGAGACAATCAAGAAATCTCAACCAATGGTAGGACCCGCACCAACATGGGCAAGTGGGGACTCTGTATGTGTGTTTAAAGATGATCAATATTGATCAATACTTTTAATTCCACTTTAGTTAAAATGAAATGAAAAAAAACAACAACAAAAAAAGCAATCCTCTGTAAGGATAATCCAACAAAGACTGCTGTATCTCTCTTAGCTCAACAGAGCCCATTTTAGTCCCTGTCGGCTTCATGTTTCTATTGTACAGCCCTGGACTGGACTGTTTGGTTTTAGAGTGTATCTGAGCATTGTTTTCTCAGGTCACAGGCCCACTTGAATAAGCACCACTAAACTAGTGAATATTCTTAATGTGTACATTCAGTATTTCTTTGGTTGATTTCCTTGTTGGACTTATGCTGAAGGTGCTCTACTGAGTGTCTCTTTGATCCAGCTGTAGTCATGTGACTTTATCATCAACGTTCCTTGTAACTGTGTCTTTCTTAACTGCGTCTTTGTCCTGATCTCTTTCCATCTATCTTGTACTCCAGCAGGAAGACGTGCGCATAGGCTGCCTGACAACACACTGCTCATTAAGGAAGTTCAGAGAGAAGATGCTGGGACTTACGAGTGCAGGGCATTTATCAAAGGGAGGCCTATCCAACGGACACTCCCTGTCTCTGTTGTCGTTAACGGTCAGAATCTTTTTCAAGACACAATTTATGACACTATTGAATTTATTTCATATCTCATGCAAGATAAGCATGAATTTGATATAAATATGGCTCATCACTGCAGCTGGTCCTACCGCGCGTCTGAAGGAGGAGATAAAAAAAGTGGTGGCTGGACCAGAAATCAACGTTACCTTTCTGTGTTTGGTGGATGGCCTGCCACAACCCAACATCACCTGGACCCTGTGAGTTAAGACTTTTGACATTGAAAACTTTTGAAAGGCACAGTATGACCATGTCTATGACTATGTCCATGAGGAGAGCTTTCACAGGGATGAAATTTAGCTGTTTCATCTCAATAGCTTTAAGAGTCATGTCAAGTTTTGGTTAATTTTTGCATCATATTTCCTTACTTATAGTCTTGTCAGCATGTGATCTATATTGTAGATGAGTGCTCTTAATGTAGCGTTCTGAGACTTAATCTATGTGCTGCTGGTTGGGTTAGAAGGTAAGGAGGTCTAATGTGTATAGTAGTGTTTGTGTATCCCTTAGGTGATCTTTTTCATTGTTGATTATTGTGCAGATACCTAGGTTCACATTATCTTTTCGTTTGAATTTCTTCAGCATAACAAATGTGTTTTCAATGTGTAGATTTCTCTGCTTTATCTCCTCTCAGGCCCACAAAGTTTGACCCGTCGCATCATCACTATAACTCGGATAAAAGCGAGCTGACAATCGTGTCTGTAGCCAGGGCAGACTATGGAGAGTACATCTGCACAACCAGAAACAAGATCTCTGAGGACAGTGCCACTGCCTTGCTTCATGTGTTTGGTTCGTCATGACTCTATCTCATTATTTTCTTCTCCTTGCTGCAGAATGATGTCAAATGTGCAGCAAAGAGTTTCTTTGTATTCTGGTGAGGTGTTTATTGTTACGGATATGTTTCCTTTCAGAGGCCCCAGAGGTGTCTTTGTCAGCAGAGTCGAAGAGTGTGTCAGTGGGTGAACATGTGTCTGTATCCTGTAACGTGTCTGGACATCCTCAGCCTGAACTACACTGGCTCAACAAGTACAACGGGCAAACTTTGGTACACAACTTTCTTGCACACTTTTCTGCAGCTTTTCAAAGTCAGGTTGTAATGGATAGAGAGCATCGAATTTCTAATGTCAATGTCTGGTCGTGAACGGTACTCCGAAGGGAACTGACAGTTTTAAAGCACACTGTAAGATCTCTGGGTGCATGTGTTGTTTACATGTGAGACATTTCAAATGGGATTACATAGCTATCAGGTCTGGCATTTGGGGACTGTGGAAGAGGCATGCTACTCCAAGTAACATCTGGTGCTTCAAGATGTGCTTTGATTAAGATAACAATATCATTAATAAAAACATATAGGTGATAATGTTACTGATCAATGAGTAGACATTTTTGGGAACCACATGTGGACTCCTGCACCCTTACGTGATGTCATGACCTTTAATTTAGGAAAGCATGTGCTACAGTTTTGAAAGTCAAAAGCAACATGGAAGTTATGAATTCATAGATTTTCCTTTGGTCTCAAATGTGACTGGATGTTGTTTTTCATGCTTCTACCTGACAGGACTCAACCTCTGGCCGCGTCCGCGTTGTCAACGGTTTGTTGACAATTGATGAGGTGGTGCCCTCTGATGGTGGACTTTATTCCTGCATGGCTGTCAGCATAACTGGAAATGCATCAAGAGATGTTACAATTATGAGTAAGAAATTGTGTTTTGTTTTTCTTTGTAGAAAAAATCATGTGAAGTATAATTGCACCAATAATTACAACTTCAGCATTCACTAATTTTCTAATGATCGTCTTCTTTCGTTTACTCCCTGCTCTCTTTTCCTCTGTCTTTCCTCCTGACTCACAGCCCAGCCCGGTCCACCTCAATACCTGTCCATCTCACCTGGACCAACTTCAGTGTTGTTCCTTCTCAAAACCTTACCCATCAGTGGGGGAGCACCCATCACAAATTACGTCCTGCAGTGGAGGCGAAGTGTAGCAGAAAAGTGGATGGAGACGGTCACAGCCCCAGACTTAGGTAAAACCCAACAAAACCATTAACTGTATTCTGTTATAAAATTACAACTGCTTATATCTGTTCATCCTGAGTCCTACTCTGTGTCTGTGTTTGCTCTCTAGATCCCCTCGCCATCACCTCCCTTAGGCCGTACACGTTGTACTCAGTGCGTTTAGCTGCCATGAACAAAGTGGGGCTGGGACCGTTCTCAGACATCAAGACTGTACGCACACATGGAATACGTAAGTGCTTCACACACTGACAACACAGCCGCTGCACAAAGTGTCAACAAAACCAAATCAATCCATATTTCATGCCACATTTGCAGCATATGCATCATGTGTATGTTTCTTGTCAATCAGAGACATGCTCATATATTTACACAAAACCCCTATCCTGGCTGGTGTGTGCGTGCGGTTGGAGAAGATTTTTCCCCTTCATCGATCATCACAAATTTTTATTGTTTGTCTTTCATGACACCGTCATTACAACATTTCCATGAAATCATCATGTGGGTCCTGATGTCTTTTCATGCTGCCATGTTGTCATCCATCCTCAGAGGGTAAAGTACAGTCATTTGCAAAACTAGAAATAAAAACTCTGAATGTTCACAGAAAGACATACATCTGAAGATCATGTTCTCATGATTCTTAAAGTGTATTTATGACAAAGTTAATCATCAGTGTCTTTTTCTACAGGTGAACCAGACAGTCCAATTTTGTCCACTGATGTAGTGAAACAAGAGGGGACTTCATTCTCCATCCCTCTGAAGCAAAGTGATGATGGAGGAACTCCTGTGCAGCACTTCAACTTACGATACAAACAGGTGAGTGCGCTGGCCTCCCACGATTTTCACAAACGTGTCATGAAACACGTTTGAGATTTCACTGCCTCATTTACCAAACAACAACACTTGGAAAAAATCAGTCTGTGGGATATAACCATTTCTAGAAAATGCGTGTTTCATACAGCTAAGTAGTAGGGGTGGGAAAATAAAATTGATACAGCATAGTATTGCGATATTTTGTCTGGTTAAATATTGTATCGTCTCATTGACCAAGTATTGATTTTTTTCAAATGAATTGCTAATATGAACTCAAATCTATGATAATAGAAAAATAAAATCAACTGTTTGTCCAGTGAGGCTGGCAGAGGTGACATTATAGATCAGGAGAAAGTTAGTGCAGCAAATATAGCAGCACTTGGAGAAAGACATTAGGAATGCAGGCAGGGCACAAATGAGATGGACCTTACACATAAGGTTTGCAAGAAATGCTTCATGAAAATAAAATATTGTGATAATCAGACAAACATCAAGGAAAGAAAGATGCTTAATCAGTTAAGTAGTTGAAAAAATAATATCGTATCGTGGGGCCACTGGTGATTCCCACCCCTGCAAAGTAGTAGGACCAAAGGTCATAGTCGTAACTGTTCACAACCCAAGTCCCTCACCCTTACAAGGCACTGTCTGTTGAAAACCTCATGACCTCGATGGATAGAAGATGGTGATGGTCATTTTGACTTTGGCTCTCTTTATTTTCTTTCTGTCATTTAATCTTTATTTCTTCTCCTGCCTTTCACTCTCTCAGGATAAAGAAGGACTCGAGTGGAAAGAGATGCAGCTGCCCTCCAGTTCAGACTCTATCTCCCTTGAAGGCCTGTCTTATGGCTCAAACTATCAACTGGAAGTCACAGCTGTCAACGCAAATGGTTCCTCTACTCCTACAACATTTAACTTCACCGTCGGACCACAGCCAAGTAGGCAGCTCCCAAATTACCTATTAGCCATACAATAGGGTCTAAACTTCAAAACCTCAGCAGGACCAAGCGTCATCTCAAAAAAGTGTTAAGGTGCTCTTCATACTGTTTGTTTTAGTCATGTTAACTGTCTGTTTCTATCTCTCCGCTCAAAGTGACCAATCGCAGCATGACCAAAGGCGCCGTGGTGTCCATCGTCATGTTGATCTTCCTGGTGATATTCCTCATAGTTGACGCCTCCTGCTGCTACATAAACCGCTGTGGCCTGCTTATGTCCATTGCTCTGAAACTGTTTGGACAGAAAGTGCCGGGCCTTCGAACGCTTGAGGACGGTGAAGGAAATGGGTGAGTTGATGTCTAAAATTTGAAAGACTTTCCTGCAAATATTCATGTTTGATGTTGATTGTTTGATAAAGCTTTTTTTTTTTACCTTTTAGTTGCATTTCTCATATTTGAAACTGTTGATTGTGTTTCCTTACTGCAGAGAAGTGAAGTTCAAGGGTGTTGACACTCCCAGAGGCAGTCTACAACAGACGGGAGTTCAGACAATCTCCAAGGATGGCGAGCAGCTCAGAGAAGTCACCTGCGACAAAGCTCATCTCACCAAACATGAGTAAGCTCTTACACTCAATATCAGACCTCAAATACCAGCGAAGAAAATATCTTATTAAAGCTTCTACGAGGGTTTTTTAGCTGGTTATCCACATGGTTACCCTTTTTAACCTCAGTTTGCCAATGACGCCACTTGCTGCAAGACTGATCAAATCTAAGTTGTGATTTTAAACATGATTGACAGCATACTAAAGAAAGAAACACAAAATTTCAAAGTAAGTGATATGCATAACTATCGAGGGCAGAACTCTGACCACAGGGGGCGCCAAAATCGACATTAAACAGAAAGGTCCTCAAAGGAGCTTCAACAATGTCTGCATGTTGTTGTAGGAATGGAAAGTTACTAAGTTTGTTTGTCATGGTAAAAATCAATCTCACTGTCCACGTTACAAGAACAATTGAATCCACTTATCAAATGCAATTTTTAAATATGATTTTTCAAAGCCTCTGTGACCATAGTTGTGTTGGGGCTTACCACCGATATATGAATGACTGCAATAACAAAAGAACAAAACAATATGATGCAGGTTGACTCAGAGAAATGTACAATTCTGTCCATATCATTCCAGCTGATTTTGACAAACTCCTGGTGATCAAATATCTACCAGAAAAAAAACAACAACTTTGATCGAAAAAACACAAAGCAGTTCATCATTTTGGATATGTAAATTTTAACCAAATGAGCCTCAAAACCGTTTTTAGTGATTGAATGACTTGACTGATACTTAAAAAATAGATCCAGCTTGCTTTTTGTGCTACCACATGCATGTTTCTTGTTTATTTTGGTGCTTGTATGCTTTTATTGAGAGGATATTATATTTGATAGAAAAGGAGATGGCCAAAGAGAGCAGGAATGAGACATGTGACAAAAGGCTGGACTGAGCCCAGTCCACCAGTTCTGGGCACGATTGAGGCAAAACGATGACTGGCTATGATAAACCACCCTTTACCAAAGATTTAGAGATAAGTGTTTCATTCAGTGTAAGCTTTTAATACAGTATCTTCTTTATTCTTTTTACAACAGGAAATCCCAACCTCAGAACGACCAGTCCAATGGCAATGCATGAAGTTACTGACACAAAGGATACCTATGAGAAACGTGAGCTAACGAAGTGTGAACACATGGAAAAACAAAGAATGTATAAAATAATCACACAGCTTTAACAAGAGACTCGAAAACGTTGATGAAAGTGGAAACATCTTTCATGGGGAAGATGAAACATCACTGACAGGACTCTTCTGAATGAATGAGAGAACGAACAGCCTGCATTCAGAAAACACAACCTCTGAACAAAGCTACTGGCAGGAAATGATGTCATTTTGTAGTCCTATTTGAGTCTTTCTCTTCTCTCATTTGCATTTCACCTTCTTTACAGGGTAATTTTGACATTTATGGTCAACAGGGTAAAACAGCTGTAAAGGTTTCCTTTGTCATGAGACGCAATTTTTTTTTCCTGTTTTATTTTTACTCCTTATTGGATGTGTCATGAATTTCCTATATTGTGCAGTGTTTTGTCAGAGTAGTTTTGATATCCATCCTCGCCGGCAACTTTTTTATGCACCTTTCCTGTTGATGTTTATTTGTTACTTACTTTGCTGCTCATCTTACGATTATTGACAAAACTTTGAGTATGTTTTATTTAAGAACAGTGTGTGTTGATGCTCAGTGGTGTTTTTCTTTTTCACCATTGAGAGTCATTTGAGCTTAAAGTAAACCAATTCACTTTATGTATTCACCATTAACTCATACTTTTTGGACTTTGAAAGGCTCATAGGTGTGAGGGTGCTAAGAAGAATCTACTTTAATTTAAAAAAATAATAATCTAAGTATTTGTAATCAGTTTATAAACTACTAGAAGTGACATTTGCAACCAATTTGTTCTGATGCTATAGTTACTACAAATAATCACTCTGTTGCAGCATTTCTGCTTGTAAGGTTGTCATGCTTGACAGTGTCCTCGGTCATTTGTAGACATAAGTGCAGTATTATGATAGTGTTTGAATACAGTCTGTGGTTTTAATACTGTACAGAACACTGTAAATTATTACATACACTTGTTGTTCCATCTTTACATGTTATAAAATGTAAACACCTTTTTGTGTTTTGTACTCATTTATTTAATGCTTCATTTTACTGTTCATAAGGTCTCAATTAAATCTTCAACACATTATGTTTCGGTCTTGAATGGCTGTAAAAATCCTGAAAAATCTTAAAGGGATATTCTGGTGTAAAATTAATTTAGGGTCAAACACACCATAACACAGAGTTAGACACCCCCTCGAGAGATGAATGCTGTCAACCGCTTGCTTCTCTTGCTATACTGGTCAACTTTAGTAACAACCGCATGATAGCAATACACAGCGGTCTGAGGAGCCATAAACAAACCTCTACCAAAAAGCCACCCTATAGCCACAAATAATGCTCAGAACAACACCTAACTTCATCAACAGTACATAAAGGGTCAAAGCCAAAGAATATCCCTTTAAGTGACTAATGTGACTTATCAAAGAGCATTTTAAGGAATATTACTGTTACTTAAATTTGTCCTTTATAAAACAAAGCAATTATGGTGAGAGCTTGAAGATAGAGATTAAGTTAACTCATTTGGAAGACAAAGCAAACGCATGATCAACGCTCTATAAAATTCATGCATATACCCTCATATGATATCATCACATGTTGCAGATGCTGAAGTCTGAAAAATCAGTGTCATCGGTGTGTGAGGGTCAATTTTTGACAGGCCTTTTGAAACACACCACGAGACGTCAATTTGGTTATGATTCTGAGTCATACTTTACAGTCTCCATAGAGCACTAATAACAGCGAGGTCATGTTGGGCAGCAGCTCTCTGTTTTAGTGCTATGTAATATTGTGTCGATCGCGAACGATTCGTTAAAAAGAACCGTATCTTTTAAGGGAACGTACTGATTCGAATCATTTCCTCGAGTGATTCGGTCGTTTCTCACTCCAGTTGAGCTGAAGTCAGAAACAGTATTGCCAGGCCAGCAGCTGGCAAACGAAGAACCACATGCACCAACACCTGAACCACTTCGTAAATGAGTCAAGCATTGAACTGCACTCTCTGGAATCATTTTTGTCTGACAAAACTACCTCAGGATCACTCACTGAGCCCAAATTATCGAGAAGACCTGGTAAATAGCATATCATAGGTGAGTACACTTAAAATATCATGACTTTTTACAAACCTGTTTGTCAAAGCAGCACAGCCAAACACTCTCGTCTCCCAGTGCCAGAAGCTATGAATTTAACTGAATCCTGAACCGTTCAGCTGTGTATCAGTTCAGGAGGTCGGAGTCGCTGGCTTCTCCCGCTAAATGATTCGGTGATTTGGTGGACGGATCTTTTGAACGAATCTTTTTCGTGAACTGATCCTAGTGATTCAGTATATCTAACCGCCGTGCCCATCACTAGTGCTCTGACGGCGAGGCCACGCCCCCTGCCTGATATGTTCCTGCTGACTACAAGCACATGACCAGGCGTGTTTACACCTGCAGCGACTGAAAGACACACAACGCAGAGACAGGAGAGCCTTCTCCAAACCGAGAGGAGAAACGAAGCGGTTACCTTGAGAGGTCATCGTGTAGCGAAGGCTCGCTGTCATTCGGTAAGTGAGCTTCAGCAGCTCTGCGCTGGTTTTCCTTCAGTGACGTGAGGACGCTGTTGGCTCTTCCGTAGCGGCAGCTGTTAGCTTAGCATGCTAACGTGTGTCAGACAGTAGGTTAGCTCGCTGCTGCAGCATCAACACTACCATACCAGGTGAAACACAGACACTGAACTATAACAGCAGTTTTAAACGGCACGATGCTGTCTCTGTCCTAAAGCTAACACTGTACGCTACCATTGTATTGAATGACATGTTTAGATAGAGTCTTCATTTCGAGACCAGTGTTGATGAATATCATATTAGTTGATAGATTAATCAGTGACTGAATGAGTGGCTTGACGGGTAGAGTGAAGCAAATTCTATAGTTTATGGTACAAGATTAAAATACTGTGTCATTATTAGTTTTAGTAGGACTGATATATAGGACAGTGTTTGTACCTCAGTTTGACAGTCAGCTGACAGGTTAGTCTGATGCTGGCTGCAGGTGTCAGTCATGTTAATAACTCACCTGATCATAAAACTAAACAATATTAAGAATTAATGGTCCAGTCGGAGCAATAGAGCAGTAAATGCTTGGGTTTAAGTCTCCTCTCTCTTCATTTGTCAGTCACCAATTATAATTTGTCGTACTTGTTAAACATCCCAGAATTTTTATGAACAAAAACATTTCAGTTATGGAGTGTGTATTGTTTCCAGGAAATGTACAATTTCTTTCTCTGCTTCAGCTCTAGGCAGTCTCTTCCCTTCTGTATCCCTGGAGAGAAGCAGCGTTTTCAGTCACAGGCTCCAGGAAGCCAGGCCTCCCTGTCCACCATGGATGAGACAGACATAGAACGTGAGGCCCTCTTTTCTATCTCTCTGGATTTGTTTGTCTGGATCTGTCATTCATCTGGAATTCATCTGCAAATTTGTCATCTCAAACTTGATCTGTCCATTTCTAACCCCCTAACATTTTGACCCTTTTTATATGACGAGTTTCTCTTCTGTTTTGTTCATTTTCTAGAGGTGACCCTGGCTCTACTGGATGCAGCCACAGATAAGGACTCAGAAGTGCAGGAGCAGGTCAGAAAGTCAATGCTGACTCTGGGAAAGCAGCAGCCAGACAGGGTGTTAGCCATGTGTCAGGATTACCTTCTGAAACATCCAAAGGTGAGGTGCACACTAAGTTAAATCAAACATCTCTCATAGTTAAAGATGTTGGATCAGCTGAGAAAACAAACCAGGGTAACCTGGCATTTGTTATAAGTTTCCTACCACACACATTCTAATAGTTCTTTATTAAAAAAGCCAGCTAAGCATTACCACATGAGCGCACTTACATTATGATTTAACTAAGCATGCAGCACTGCCACTGCTACTGGTATCATGTGCCAAAATTAGCCGGGGAGAAACCAACAGTGATATACAGTGCTGTGATCACTCATGAAGAGTGAAAGCTCAGGGGAAGTCCCCAGTGTCTCTGATTTCTGTCAAAGGGAAATTGTTGTCCTGTAAAACAGTTAACTATTCAACTGAATTGCAGTAAGAATAAAGAAGTGATACTCATATGATGCAAATGTGTGTGGTTTAATTCAAGATTTGTCTTGACTCCACTAACCCGGGTAACAATAGTCTGTGGCTACTAATCTGTTAAACCAGGTCACATTTGAAAGCCTTTCAGAGCCCTAAACATGTGGTTTTCACTCAGTTACAGACAGAAGGAGAGTCAAGTTTCCACTCTAGAACCTTCAAAAATAAGCATTTGTACTTGCATGCATTTCTGTTACACTGGTTCTCATTCTAGATATGATGCAGGAACAAGATCTATCAATAGAAAAGTGATTATTTCTTTATCAGGCGATTGGGTTTGTCTCTAGAATAAAAGTGAGATGCCAGTCAGGTTTCCTAAAATCTAAGTTGATGTCTTCCTGTCATTACTCTAAAGTGTTCAGTGACAATTGTGAGGCTGCGTCTTTTGTGTTAAACCTCAAGGGGGATGAAAGTCTCTGAATCTTGTGCAGTTATTCAAAAATATTCACCAAGTTAGATATTCACAATTTTTATTTAAATAAAAATGAGAAAGTTGTGGGTCTGATCCCAGGCACCTTTAGCAAGACACTTGACCCCAAGCTGCCATCAGTAGCTTTGCCATAGGTGTATGAATGGGATAAGGTAATGTGACTAAAAACTATGACCCATATCTGTAATGATATAAAGTGTTGCAGCATTTACAGCTCGGATCGGGCCAGTAGATTAAAGGGATATTCAAGTTATGGTCAAACACACTGAGTTATACACCCCCTCGAGAGATGAATGTTGCCGACTGCTTGCTTATCTTGTTATACCAACTTTAGTAACAACCGCACAATAGCAATACACAGTGGTCTACGTCTCCACGCACACAACTCAACCAAAAAGCCACTCTATAGCCACAAATAATGCTCAGAACAGCACCTAACTTCATCAACAGTACATATAGGGTCCCAACTATAGTACTAGCCATCAAACATCTTTTTAGCTTTACCTGATTTCTTTAGCAAAGAGACAAAACACAACTCACCTACTCTCCTCCAGCAGCTGCTTGTTTGTGGGGGAGCCCTGACGAGTCGATCACCGAGTGCAGCAGAGTTTTGCTAGAATATCCCTTAAAATAATCACAATTTTAATTTCAATAATATCATTGATACTTGAACTCATTATTAAACTGAGTTAATATTACTAAAAAATATGACCCATATCTGTAATGATGTAAAGTGTTGCAGCATTTACACCTCGAACTGGGCCAGCAGATTAAGACCTTGATCAAAACCATAAAACTACCATGAAAGTAACTTGATATGAAAGGGTTTTATAGTTCTCTATATGTCCCTAATTTTCTTTTCTCTTATATCACATGTACCTGAAAACAAACAAACAAACAAACAAAAAAAAATTATGCAGCTGTGAACTAACGTCTTTGTATGATGTTGCAACATTTTATCTTGCAGTCACATGCCTGGACTCAGTATTATCAGATAACAGCATCTTTACACTGAGGAAATATCTAGGAAACATCTGTGACACCATTAAAAAAAACATGATGTCCGTAATTAGATTATGTTCAATGTGTCATTGTATTTAAAGGCTTTTTTGACAGCCAGTTACAAGCATTTCCTTTTGTACACAATGTTGTTTCATGAGGATAAGAAAGTGCTGTGCTATTTATAAATACTCTATTTTTCTCTGCTCCCCCTCCTTCCTTGTGTTTTCCTGTAGTTGGCGGTGAGCCACAGAGTTGTGATTCTTCAGACTATCGAGTTGATTGTGGGCTGCAGGATTGAGGAGATCAGTTACCCGAGGATAAAGAGCATCATTTCTCTGGCCTCAGAGGAGATGACACGATCAAAGGTAACCTGTAAGACATGAATATAAACGTGTTTTTTTTTTTTATTAGTGGACAGATGATAAACGATGTGTTTGACTGTTTTCTCCGTCTTCCTGGTTTAATCAGGAGGTCATCCCTGACTGGCAGCAGGCAGCCAGTAATATCTTGGTCGCTGTGGGCAACAAACACATCAATGACATCATGGAGGAGATACTGAGCAAGTTTCAGCCAGGGCTCATACCTCACTTCTTTGTGGTCCAGACACTTGCCAACCTTTCTGACTCCAATGGTAAAACAACAAACAGAGAAAACTCACACTAATACACATAACTGTGTTTAATCACAACTGTTAATCACAAAGCAAGGATTCAGAGGTTGCTGAGTAAAGTCTGTCCCTGTCAAACCAGTCCAAAAACAGCATTTTCTGGCCAAAGATCCAAACCTCTGCTGATTGTGTTTGATTTGTTGAAGTCTTTCAGTGTTTGGAAATTGAAAAAACAGCTTTTTTCAAACAATTTAAGTCTGCATCGATTTGCAGATTTAGCTGTCAAACCGGCTGTAGTCAGGGGTATTCAGATCTAACTGCCACTAAATTTGAACTTCAGTTCAACTCCAGACTAACTCAATAAAGAGCCACAAAGCCATATAAACACCATGACATTTCTCTTTCCTTGTTTCTCATGAAATTGACTTTTCACTAAGTGTGTTCCTGTATCTTTATGACATAAAGTGACCCAATATTAGCAGATGCTAAAATAAATGAATCAGATTAAATGAATCTGATCAGGCTTAAGGGCCCATAAATCCGTAGCAGCACCCTGGTCTTTATGTGTTACCAGCTTGTGAGTAGCTTTTCTTTGTGTCTACAAAACCATAATTTACATGTGGATTTTTGTTGCCAGAATATAAACCTGTACAACCTAGGCTAGATTTTAAAGCTGCAAGTCATAGACTACCACAGGGTCACAGTAATATTGGGTTTATACTATTTTGATTCACAGTGTAATTTTAGCAGCTCTTTTGCTGAAATACTTATCGTGATTTAGCAAAAATAGGATATAGATTCTTCTTGAAAGCTACAATTTGAATTTTTACTGTCAATTCTTTTGAAATCCTCTCCATCAAAGTGTCAGTAAGATGGATATGTTTCTGCCTTACAGAGGGAGTGATGAGTTATAACATGTCACTTATACTGCATTCTTCTTCTTCTGATACACTAGTTTATGGCATGGTACCATTCCTGAATGCCATTCTGGGCACCATGTTACCCATGTTAGGCATGGCCAAACAGGACAACATGAAGTGGGTCTTCTCCTCTGGTAAGCTCCTCAAGCAGGTTTTTGCACAAATCGACCTTGTCCATATTTTCACCTTAAACCTTGTCAAATATCCAGTTCTCCTCTTTCGCTTCTCTTGTAATCACATTTCTTCTCTCCTTTAGTTGATCCCTCTTTGTTTTGTTTCCCTCCATCCAGCTCTGTGTCATTTCAGCGACAGTATCTTAGAGTACCTGGCAAACCTGGACAAGGCTCCAGACCCCACAGTCAGAAAAGACACATTCTCCAGTGAAATATTCGCTGCTTACGACATCCTCTTCAATTCTTGGTTACAAAGCAGAGAATCTAAGGTAAGGAGTCACTCGGTGTAAATTGGAAACAAAATACAAAAGGCTTAATGGTCTATGAAGAGGCCACATATTTTGCATTCAGTTTGTATGGGTGAGAATCACCAGTGACGCCATGATACGATATTATCACGATACTTGGGCCATGATTCGATATTATTGTGATTTTTAACATTTTGCAATACAGTGAGAAATGCGATACTATATATTGCATACTATTATGTTAACATTTGTCTTTCCTTTTATGTTTGTCTTATTTACACATTATTTTATTTTCATGTAGCACTTCTTGCAAACCTTATGTTTCAGGTCCATCTCATTTGTGCCCTGCTTGCATTCCTAATGTCTTCCTCCAGGTGCTGCTACATTTGTTGTACTAACTTTCTCCTGCTCTATGATGTCACCTCTGCCAACCTCACTGGACAAACAGTTGATTTTGTTTTTCCATTATCACAGATTTGACTTCATATAAACAATAAATTTGAAAAAATCAATACTTGGTCAATGAGACAATACGTTTTATCACCAGACAAAATATCACGATACTATACTGTATGGATTTTTTCTCCCACCTCTGTCAGTTTGGTTCAGACAGCTTTGACAGGGGTTGACAATGTGGAGAAGCTGAGCCATAGTAGCAGTTCCAACCACATACTTTGAAAAAAGTGCTGAACAATGGTTCACTTACACACTACCTTTAAACTGCTATCCCAGACAGACATTGATTCTGAAACACAAGAAAATGTGTGTTTCCCTTATCACCCACAACTGTGAAATCAGTAAAAGTGCACCGCGGGAACACTTCTTTGATTTTGTTTACAAATTAGATGATCGCTAAAGCAACAACATGCACTTTGACCTTGGCATCTATTATTATATTTGAGATAACAGCACAGCTGCCTTACAAGATTCGCCTAGTCTTAATTTTGTCCCATCAGCCAAATCCAATCATTTAACCAGTGTGTCCTTGTGCTTATTACAGGAGGCAGGAAACACAGTAGAGCAAATTATTGATCAGATATCATTAGCTCTAAAAAGGACTGTAAATAAGTGAACAGAAAGTTCAGTACGAAGTAAAAAGTTTGAATGTAGTGAAAGAAAATGATTATTTGAATTGATTTGGTTCCTACACCTAAAATAATGAGTCGAATGCAAACCCCTGAGGTCATTCGTCTTTATTTGAACAGTCTAAAGCAGGGGTCGGCAACCCACGGCTCTGGAGCCGCATGCGGCTCTTTCTTCCCTAAGCTGCGGCTCCCAATGGATTTGGAAAATAAATACTTAATTGCATTTTATTTTATTTTATTATTATTTTTTTTTTGTAATTCTAAATTCAAAGATTATAATGCTCTTGTAACATTAAATAACTATTAAGGCTGCAACAACGAATCGATTAAGTAGATTCGTCGTGACGAAAAAATCCGTTGCCAACAAATTCTGTAATCGATTCGGCGGGTCTTTATATATGTCCATGGACACCGGCGTGTAAACATCAGCAGGACGCACAGAAAAGAAACAGCCATGGCCGAGGCAGCGGCTGAGAAAAACATGGACACAACCCAACCCAAATCCCGACCTAAAACATCAGTGGTGTGGGAAAACTTCACCAAGACTGAAAAGGAAGGCGTTCAGTGCAACATTTGCAAAGACCGTTTTGCATGGCTCGGGAGTACATCGATGATGCGTGAGCACAGGGCTCTCAAGTCTCACGCATTCAGCGTATGACACACGCATTCCCACTCGTTCACACGCTCACGCACCACACATTGTATTTCTCACGCATTTAAATGAACACGGTGATGTCCACCAAGTTGCACTTCTTCAACTATGGAACTGGGGGAAATCAACTGAGTTCCTCCGAGAGTTCAGAAGCTGCGTGCCACGCACAAGCCAATCAAATAAAGTATATCTACTGAACAGCCAATCAAAAAGCAGCATTGCTGTATCCGGGTAGATTTTGATATCTTGCGGTTTAACTACAGAAGAAGACAGACACTCGCCGAAATAGTTCATTTATTTCATAAATGCAACTCGCTACAGTTTTTTATATACTTTGTATAAAGGTAAAAAAAAAAGATATATGCAATGTTATCTTCATTTAGATGTCAAAGAGGTTTTGTGGCTCCCTGTGTTTTCTTTTCTGTGGGAAACTGGTCCAAGTGGCTCTTTGAGTGTTTAAGGTTGCCGACCCCTGGTCTAAAGGATTTCAACAAACTGCTCAGTCTGTTTCCTGACGTTTCTGTCTCTCTGATCTAGTTGAGGCTAACAGTAGCCGAGGCAGTGGGCTCCATGTGCCATCTGATGGCCAGTGAGAAGCTGGAGGAGCAGATTCCAAAACTGAGTCCTGCTATTTTGTCCCTGTACAAGAAAAATAACGAGCACTATGTTATAAGCAAGGTGGGTACTGGGGAGCTTTCCTCTTTTTTGGGTTGGTCAAGATGTTCTTTGGCAGTGCTAGTGGCTAAACTCAATTTTGTACTCAAATTCAAGTGAAACAGGAAATAATTTGCTTTATCAGACGGTGACAATGTAATCTGTCTCTCTTGCTCCGACTAGAGTCTGTGCCAGGTGCTTGATGCATCTCTGAACATGGGCAGCAGGGTGCTGGAGACACAACTGGATAGTCTACTCTTTGCTCTGCATCAGCAGGTAAGCACATCTTCACTGCTCCTGAGCCGGATTAAACCAGGTGACGGATGCATGACTCAGATACAAGTAAAAAAGGTGAAACCTTTTTGAAATTCTCACAGAGATTTGATTCCTCTGTGATCCAAGACCAAAACCAGCGATTCTAAACTGACTCATTAGCAGCAGATCTTGAAATTAGGAGATCAGAGATGCTTTTAATACTTGTAAAACCTGCAAATCGGAAGAGGTATGGTCCAACTTTGTAGCTTATTCCTCCTCCGACCTCGTTTTGCAGCATTTTTTAAACACTTGATGTGAGGCGTGGGAAAGCTGATTAGATTAGAGTAACATTTACTGGCATGTTCTACACAGTAGCTGTGCTATGCATTGTGGAGAATCAGTTTAAACATAAAAAACAAGATTAATGAAGTCGCATTAGGGAATTTCTGGTGGTTTTAGCAGGGTGATTATTCCTGTTGTGTTTGTTTTTAGGTCATAACTGTAAGGACAGACCTGGACTAAACACAAGCCTTAAACACACCAAAAAAGATGCTCTAAAGTCAGTCTTGCTCAATCTCTGTGGTTTTAATGCTGACAGTTTGCCGTTCCCAAGAGTCTGTGCAGCACTTTCTATCACAAGACTTAACCAACGCCATACCATCATGAATCCAGCTCACCCCTCCTCATGCTTAATATCAGAATATACAGTACTTGATACTGCTTTCTTAAAAAAATGTGTCAAGCTGCTGTCATTGAGAGTCATTGTAGTCATATGTTTTCATAATCTTGTGACTCAGCTGATGCTTGGCACGGTGCTTGACTGTTGCAACATTCAACCACAATGACTGTGCCCAGGATGTGTGTGTGTGCGCGTCTGATCTGGATTGTGTGATTAGCACATAGAGGTTTTCACAATAATAATATAGCAGGAACAGTTATCATTGTAGTACTGCACAAAACCTTCTCACTGTGTTTGTAGGCTGTACAGGTACATGGGTGTAACTCTTGTAGACAAGGCTTGGCTTTTAATTATGTAGTCCTTGAAAAAATGTCAGTTCATACTTCAAGCTCCGGCGAGTTGGAGGCTATTTTTGAAAAATGTAAATGTGACTCTTCATGTGTGACATTGTGTCATGAAAAAACCCACTTCCTTAAACAAACAAATTATGATCACTGTATGAACTCATTTTTAGTTCATAATGATTTTAACCCCAGAATGGAGTAAAACATGCGTTTTTTACTTGAGTAAGATAGAATTTGTTGTCGTATTGTATTCTTATCCCACTGAGCATTTTTTGGTCTAAAAGAGGTCTAATAGACGTCTAAATGTAGCCTAGACGACTGGTCTAAAATCAGGCTACCACAGGTCTAAAAATGAAAGTTTTTTAGATGTCTAAATTTAGACCAAGTTTAGACTAGCCGGCGAACAGAGGTCTAACTGTATATTGCTCAACAGCTATCATAATTATTTTGGTTAAGTACTTGGAGATCAGTTATGCAACTCACAGTTGCTTTTTGAAATAAATAGTTATCGAATAATGGGTTAAAGTGCAACGTCTAAACTCCATCTGAAAACATACAGAATCTAGACGGTTGAAATTACGTCTAACAGCCGTCTTTTGCTCAGTGGGGTAGAGCAGCAGTGCTCACCTCAGCTGTATCTGAGGGTTTGTATGTTGCCACATGGCTGTTGAAGAGAAATGTTTCCTGTGTCTCCTCCAGGTGTCCGCCCCTGTTGATTACAGTAACCCTCCTACTGTCAAGAACCACAACGAGGTCCTGCGCTGCTTCAGCCTACTAGGTACTAAAGTTGGTGCTTTTCTCGACAGCATCTCTAAATCTGAATGATTCAGAACAAACAACTGTGTGATAGGGTTGACTCTTCTTTAACTCAGCGTTGTAAAAAAGTCAGTATGGTGACAGAAAAAAGTCACAGCAGCGTGAGTCCTGTCCATCTGTTTCAGTTCTATGGAGTCACAAGAGCAGTAACAAGATCATCGATTAGTGTGCCAGACTCAGTGTCCACAACAAGATAATCACATTAACTCAAACCCTTGACCTACTTCCCTCCTCCTCTGCCCCCTAGTCTCTCTCATCCCTCATGAGTTCAGCTTTTGTTGTTTTCTATCTCTGTGAAACTTCATGCATTTGACTTTGAGTGATTTTCACTCACGGTTCACTCTCGCTTCTCTCTCTCCAGCCAACTCTTTCCCAGATCGGCTGGTGATGTTTGTTCTGCAGAAGTTGGAGAACAGTAATGAGCGCAGCAGGGTCGGCTCGCTGGCTGTTCTACGTCACCTCATCAACTCAAGCAGTAAGAAAACACACATGCTTTCTAAAGTTACACATACACACTTTAAGATCTTCAGTTTTTGTTCATATCAATACCATTATCACTGCTTGTTAACAATCTGGCTGTCCTGCAGAAACAAAGACAGCAACTAAATGTTCATAGTAGGGCTGTATTCCACCAAAGACATTCTTGGTCAACTAAAACCTTGAAATTTTAAAACAAAAATCAACTAAAGGGGTGGTTGGGGGGGATTTCCGACTCTTGACGGCAAACCCCTCTGTGGCGGGGAGGACGCGGCTCGGCGGAGCGTGGCTCGACGTGGTGAAAATAAACTGATATTAGCACAAGAAGGCAATTAAACACAAATATTATATTCAGCAAACCATCGGATGTGGATTTATGTGGATGTTTTTCAATCTTCCTGTCTCCAGCCGGTCTCCAGTGGGTTGGGCGAAACCAAAATGGTGAAAACAAGGGGGGATGTTCTAAGACAGGCTGTTACCTGTGAAACAGGGGAGCTCTGAAAATTATTATTATTACTATTAGCCCTTGGTACGTTCCTCCTGAGGAAATTTACCATAGACTGTAAATTGATGCAGAAAAAAAATGGAGTCAACCAATCAAATTTTTAGTCGACTCAGCACTTATCGACCAATAAGTCGACCAGTCGACTTGGACTTTACAGCCCTAGTTCATAGAGTGTTTTCAACCCAAAGAGGGTCAAAAGTTCAACGATATTTAGTCCTTTTCACATTTGAAACTGCTGTATCCCCTTATGCAGCAGGTCACAAGAATACTTTGTACAGTTTAATGCCTGTTTGCTGGCAGTCAAATTTTATTCCAAAACTTTGTTGGACAATCAATGAATACTTGTGCATCAGTGATTTGGTTTGACAGACTCGAGAAGACATGCTCTGTCAGCGGACTCAATAACAGTATTGATTCGATGCAGAGGCAGGCCCTCGAATGAACCAGGTTTTAATCAACAGCCCTTTTGTCACTGTAAGAGATCAGGCACAGGTCAAGTGCTTCGTCATTCAGTGTGAATTGTTTCCAGTTTTGATTAGTATGTAAACTCAGTCATCAATCCTTCCACCTTGTCTTTATCAGGTGATGTGTTCTCATCCTGTACTTTGTGTGTCTGTGTGTTGCAGCTTCAACAATGGAGAGTAAGAAGCTGCTGATTCTGGCCAGCATCAGGCAACCGATGGCAGACCACAGCAACAAGGTACGACACCCCTCAACATCCACATAATCCCTTAATACGTCTTTGAGAAATAATCAAATCTTTGTTTTTTTGTTTCAGGAAACAGAATATTGCTCAAGCTCACTCAGTGACTGTCTCTATTGCAGGTGAAGAAGCGTGTGGTCCAGGTGATCAGTGCGATGGCTCATCATGGCTACCTGGAGTTAGAGGGAGGGGAGCTGCTGGTTCGATTCATAGTCCAACACTGTGCCCTTCCAGACACGTATCAGGTATCACATCAGCTATGGTTGATTTCTGTGTCATTTTCATGACCATGTTTTCTTGTAAAAAAGAAAGTGTTTTTAATCAGCAGGTATCTGTTACTGCAAATAAAGATCAACATTTCAAGAATTAGAGTTGGCGTGAAGCTTCAGATACACAAATAAACTTCAGTAAACAAACTTTTTTTTAACTTCTCATTTAGGGAAGATGTAAATAACTTCTCATAAACCAACATCAAAATAATAATCATGATCAAAGAAAATAAACCAACAACAGACAATCCACAATCAAATCACACAATTTGACGCTCTTGACTAATTCACCAAGTTGAAGAAAACGAGTAAACACATACATGCTGGAAATGTACAAGTGGACAACGAACTTTATGGAAGAAACTCACCATCAAGAAGCCTTTAAGAAAGTTGTTAAGTGGCTGCAGTTAAAAGGGGACATCTGAGAATGTTAGATATGAAATATTAGATATGCATCCGTTTCCTGTTGTGTCCGTTTGTCTCTCCGATGAGGCCAAAGGCCCACAGATCCAGAGGAGGTGACCAATGAGGCTGCAGTTAAAAGAGGACATCTGAGAATGTTAAATATGAAATATTAGATATTTATCAGTTTCCTGTTGTGCCTGTTTGTCTCCAGCGAGGCCAAAGGCCCACAGATCCAGAGGAGGTGACCAATGAGGCTCTGAGGACAATGTGTGACAACACACTTCACCTCCTGACCACCACTGTTGGACGGCTAGCTGATGTATGTACTCTGTCTCTGTTTTCACATCTGTGGGATCTGTCGATGGTTCATTAGTCTGTGTTTAGACTTAAATTATCCACTAATGTTTGTTTTGCTGCTATTGCATCTATTTTAAACTGAAATGTTTCAAAGCTGGTTCAGTATATGCCAAATAGCACTTTTGTCCTTTGTGGGAAACTGCAAATATGTGTTGTGTTATTTGCAGGTGCTATGGCCAAAGCTGCTGTACTATCTGACCCCTGCACAGTACAGTAACGCCACCACTCCTCTTTGTAAAAGTCTGATCGTTCTTGGCACCAAGAAGAAGAACAACGAGGAGCCCAGCTTCAAGATAGACTTTACACAAGAAGGTAGGAGGAACATTCACAGACCAGGGGCTGAATGATTAGCTGGTTTGACCATGAATCACCCCCACTTCTGATAAAAAGTGGGGAAGGTGTGTTAAACAGTGTGTGGTGGATTGCAAATTGTTTGAAATTCATGTTGTGAAAAACAGAGTCATAAATAAGTTATCTTACAAAATGTTAGACTCTGTTTTTTTATATGGTGATACTGAGTCATTCAGAGTTTGTTGGCAGCAAATCTGATTTGTGATTTGCACTGGGCCAAACTTTCCTAAAACTGGGACTTTAAGTAGATGTAAGCATGGAAAGAGAATCGTGTAATAATACTTGTTAATACGTGTTGAGATTGACCATTTCAAAATTTTTTACCATGTTTGGTTAAATGTGTCTTGTCTGTCTCCTCCAGTGAACATACCCTCTCCTCAAACACTAATGATCAGACTGCTGGTAAGTAAAACTGTGAGACATTAGTAACTCAATCTGACCAAAGAGCTCTGTTTTAAAGCCTTGAGTGTCCAAAGTATAAAACGAAGGATAGCTTGGATAACAGTCCAATAACTTGCCACTGTCACTCATGTTAGATGAGATGGGTCAAATCTGTCCAATCTTAAGGTTGGGTCTTGATAATTCATCAAATAATGAGCGTGGTCTAGACCTGCTCTTTTTCTTTGGAAAGCGTCTTGGGATAACAGCTGTTGTGAATTGGCGCTGTATAAATAAAGTTTGATTGATTGATTGAACTGTCTGCAGCTGCAGATTGAAACAAATCATCATAACATGCTTCTAGTGAACTTAATTTACTGTGAACCGCAGATTAAAATAACTTTTTCACATCAGCCAAATTTAATTTAGAATAAATGTGTTTCAATTCCCTGACTAGTATCTGTTCTTCTGCTTGTGGCTTTGTCTTCGACGGGCTGCCTCAGGTGAATGCAGCTTTTCCGTTCCATGGCAGAGGACACGGCGCTCCATCCCTGTCTCTCCTCCACATCCTCAGTGTTAACATTCATCCCAACATAGAGATACTCTGGGAAAAAGAGATCCCCCCTCTGCTTTCTGTCATAGAAGGTGTGTGAATGTAGGGACGTTTTCGTAGAGCTATGAACGACCAGTTTGGACCTGGTTCTGGTCCTCAGTTCGGTTTCATTTGTCATGTTCTGTAGACTCACTGTGTGTTATTGCGTTCAGAGTCGACCTGCGAGAGCCTGGACAAGCAGCTCTGGGATGATAAGTTACTTAAGGTATGTTTGTCTTCACATAAGAAATGATTATCTCATTCATTATTCTGTGTCAGTATTTTATTATCAATAAAAATCCAAAAAGTGATGATCAAAAATGTAACTTTCAGTCTAAAAAGGATCAATAGTTCCCTTTTATTTTGCATTTACATTCTACGAATATTGTCAGAAAGCTGAATTAATCTTAAAAATCCTCATTGGGGTAATTATAAGATACATTTAGATAAAGATTTTAAAGAGATACTGTTGTCTGCTTAGCTTTTATTATATGTTGATACTTAAATATCAAAATATAATGTGATGCTTTGAAATGTTATTATAATTGTGTTTATTTTCAGCTCTTGTCTAAAACTCTGGACACTATCGACGATGATAAGTGGGTTTGTCAGTTGGCAGCTGAGGCAACAAGATATCTCCCCACCTATAACAACGCCTTAGAGGAAAAGGTAAATCTTTCAAGAGCTTTTGAACTTTTAAATCAAGAGTTCGCTAAATGCATCTGTTGCTGTGGTTACAGACGTTTATCCAGTCACATGAAACGAGTTGTTCAACTTTTAGGGTTTGTTGAGTTGCCATTCCTGTAAAGCAGTCCTCGTGTAGAGCTTCATGTGAGAATAATTAACTCAAAAATCTGGCTTTGTTGAACAGTGCCTCTCATTCTTTTGAGTTCATGACCTTCATAAAAGTAGCCACACTTCCTCATAACCAGCCACAGTGTACACGCAGAGAGCTGAACCCACCAAAGTCAAGAGTGAAGAGACTGACGTTTATTCAGCAATAGTGAAAACAATGTCTTTGAACAGTTTAAGAAGACTGAGCAGTTCTTTAATTGAAAGATCTAAATGGTGTATGTGTCAACCAAGGAGTAATGTTACAGCAACCTGACATGACTTACAACCCCCTCATCCGGAGGACCCTCCTTCAGAATGAGAACCAGAGGATTGCGATGTTTAACAAAAAGTCTCTTTGAAATCAACAAAGCTACTTCATAGATACCTGTTATGTGCATCAGAATTGAGTTGTCAGCCAATTTGGTTGTTAATATTCCTGAACTCTGGTCAGATCTGACAGTTATTAGTTATACAGATCAGCACAGTATTCACTCATGCGTACTACACTCCTAAATATTAATGCCACCTTCTTTCCCCACACTTGTTCTCAGACAAAAGTTGAAATTGTAAAAGAGAATTCTCTTCCTGCTGCTTTTCATGAGCAAACTTGACAGTGTTCAGGTTTTACCTCTTTCTCTGTGTGTGTATGTGTAGATATATGTGTGGAATGTATGTGTGTGTGTGTGTGTGTGTGTGTGTGTAGGCATAAAATATATATTGTCTTGTTATGTAACATTTTCTGTGTTTGAGTAAAGAGGATCATATGTACAGAAACTAAGTGTCATATATGGATGAAATATTGAGTTTGTGGCCGTGTATAAATATAATTGTAAATATGTCTTTTATTTATAGTATGCATGTGTTTGTGTATGGTTACTACCTTTATTCTGTTTTCCTTATTGCAGATTCGAAATAAAGCATTTATTTATTCAGTAGCATATTTTGGTCATCACTATCTCTGTCTACTGAACAACTACAGTTTGCGCCGCCAAACAGCCAGTGATTACCTGATAATGTAAAGCCTGGTGGGTTCATTTATGGATTAATCCTAAATTAATGGGGTTTTTAGCTGGAAATTAAAGACCTCTTCTTCGTGGAGTTTGCACTGATATGAAATTGCAATGACACAAATATGCTGTATATATACAATGATGTGGCCTGACAGTAACCACCAGTAAATCTTTGAGCCAGGCTCTTGAAAACAGAGCTTGAAACTGTGATCTAATGACACTGATGTATTTCCCTCTGCTTCTCTGTAGAGTTTCCTGTATCGGTGTATAGGAGTGACTCTCCAACAGTGTTTCAATAAGGAGCTGGTTAAAAAGCAGCTGCAGGAAATCCTCCTCACAGCACGTCACACCGATGCCATCGAACGAGAGGTACTCAAACACTTTTATTGAGACGGTTAGGACAACTAGTCATTATTTGTACCTTGTCTCATACAGGACGGGTTAGTGGTCTAACTTTTACATTTATGCCATGTTAATCCATCAGGGAGTTGCAATGGGTGTCGGCCTGTGTGCAAACAGCCACTTAGAGGGAACTCTGGCCAAACTGGATGAGTTTGGAAAATCGGACGCCTTCAAGAAGTCACCAAGCATCTTCAACCTGCTCAAAGTACGGTGACTTATTCTGATATGTTGAGTTAAAAATACCGTCACTTAGTTTCTTTTTAGTTTGTTGTTTTCTCATCAGTGATGAACTGAGTCCAGTTTTTCCTCATCTCTTCCTCCTTTCTCTCTTTTCTGCAGGAGCGTAATGATGTAGAAATAGAGAAAGTGAAAAGCACATTGATCTTGTGTTACGGACAAGTGGCTTTGAACGCACCTCCAGAGAAAATACTCAACCGTATCGATCAAGATATCCTTCGCGCCATCAGTAAACACTTCAATACCAAGGTAATGTGATTAGTAAGGTGACATAACTGTTGTTAAAGAGGATATTTTAAGACCAACAACAACACTGATGATGAGACAGTGTGTTCAAACATGTCGCAGTTGTTCCTGTAATAAAACTGAACCTATCAGTTTACACTTTGTTTTTCAAGTCCTGATTGAAACCTACTTAACGGCCTCTTCAGCACTTTGTAATCCTTCAGGTTTTTGCTTTAGCTCATAACCCAACATTACAGTGAAGCAGACTTTCTAATCTCTTTCAGTTTGTCCAAATCAAAGCCAACTCTGATTCAACAATGTTTGTGTAACAAGGTTTGAGCACCCTCCACCTATTCCTCTCTCATGGTGGAGTCAGCAGTGTTTTAACCACTGAGGGTCCTGTGCCAGAACAACAGCCGGTTAAAACACTGTAGTATTATCCAAACCTGGACAGTCTGTTAGTGAAGTCAGATGCCAATTAGCATAAAGAGGAGGCTGCACAGTTGGGAAGAGAGGAACCAGCAGGTGGGGAGTTATTTAAAAAAGGAAGCATTAGACAGAGAGAGTGGTTTTTTATCACAATGTTGGGAAATAAGACTTTTGATTTTGTTATTCAGCTGCAGTTTCACAGTTCAGGGTTTAATTTTGCCTGAAGTGCAGAGACAGAAATATAGATAAATGCCTGAAACTGTGTTAGACTGATACAATCGTGTGTTTATTTCTTTCAACATCGATCTAACTGACGTTTTGTCAGTGGTGCTTTTAGTGGTGTGAGTTCACACTGTTGAGTTCTCAGTCTGGAGAAATTAGCTCATTGCAGAAGTGCGACTAACTTTTTCATACCTCACATGGTAACCCTTTGAATCAACTCCAAATCTTCGCCTCGTGTTCAGTTAGGTTAGGTCAGCAAAATCAATACTGTTGTGGAAAGGCTTTAAAAGTCTGCTTCAGAAATCAATGATTGACGTTGCAGGTGTTATGTCAGTGTTTTATACAGTATATGGGTGGTAGGGAACCCTTTGAGTTCCTGAAGTAGCTGGTTCCTTGTTACAAGTGAATTAATTTTTCAGGTCTGCTTTGTGTGTCCCTGACCCTGTTGTGGTTGTAGTTTCAGGGGCTGTAGTACGTGATGCAAAAACACACCTACCACATCATGTTTTGTTGTTGTTCTTGCATAACTGAACTCTGGCTGAGCTATTGATTCCTGCAGGTAGAAGGGCTGTATTTGTTTGTCACTCATGACCTATCACCTTTATTTCATGCAGGTTCTTGGGATTAAAGTAGAGACAAAGGTATCGTCACAGGAATACTACGACCTTTCACCTTGTTCTCCTCCTTTTCCTGTATTTCCGTCCGATCTGCACACTGGGGTGTGGTGTCTTAACTCAGTACTCACTGAAAGTCTTCAAATCAGCACACAAACTTTTTTTCTTTGAGCTTTTTTTTCTGTATCTGAAGTTATATTTCACAAATGAAGAGCAACAGATTTGGGACCCATGTCTTACAGACCCGAAGGACTGTATTGACTTGGTTTTACATCTTAAACATTCACAGTTGATACAGACAAGGCTGTGACTCAGATTGTAATAGTTATTGAACATATATTAAACAGCCAGATCAATTTTGAAGGTTCAACATGAATTATAAAAAGCAGAACTGCTCTGCCTTTGTGAAATGTGGCTTCTAGTGATACAGCATCAAAAATCTTTCGGTATCAAACACTCATGGTCAGCAGGTGTAAAGGCCGCTGTGATCAGTTTGAGTCAGATCAATTATAACAATTAATTTCTTCAATTACACCATCAAACTCATAATTATTCTGTCATCTTTCCATGAGGTGAGTGTTTGATACTCTGAGCTAGATTTGCTGTGGAGTTGAGCTTCAACGCACTGATTTAAAATGTTAACTTGGCTACTTTATGGTGTTGTGCCTGAAGTACTCAGACTTCTCAAAGGAGCTGATGATTTTAAGCCAAAGGTGAATCCATAAAAACAAGTTTCAAATATTTGTGTTGTCGGAAACTTTATAATCTCATCCCAGCAGATGAGAAAGAATGAGTGTGCTTAGTACTTAGTCAGTGTCTATCTGAATGGGTGTGAGAGGAAAGGCTGTGTTTGGAAAAACATGTTAACTCCAGCCTGCTCTTCTATATTATACATGTCTCTAAATAATGCTGCGTCACTACTGAAGTGAGCTACAAACTTTTTTGACAAATAAACCGATAAAAAAATCATTTGAACTACCAAAAGCCATATCAGTGAGATTTGTCCTTACTTTTCCTACACTTTCTAAGACATTGTTTATTATCAGCTTATAAGGTTGACTTATTCTTTTGTTGTTCATTGCTTCAAGGGATATTCTGATGTAAATTTAAGTTATGGTCAAACACACTGAAACACTGAGTTAGACACCCTGAATGCTAACTGCTTGCTTATCTAGTTAGACCAACTTTAGTAACGACCGCATGATAGCAATACACAGCGGTCTACGTTTCCACACACAAACCTCAACCAAAACGCCACAAATAATGTTAGAACAGCACCTAACTTCATCAACAGTACATATAGGGTCCCAGCCATAGTACTAGCCATCAAACATCTTTTTGCTTTGCCTGATTTTTTTAGCAAAGAGACTAAACACAACTCACCCACTCTCCTCCAGCAGCCGCTTGTTTGTTGGGGGAGCCCTGACGAGTCAAGTGCATGAGTCAAGTCATGTGATGAACCAAGTGCAGCGGAAAATTTATGATCAATCCTTCATGGAAATGCAGTCAGAGTTCTTGTGTATCTTGTATCTGCACTGCAGATGCAGTAGTTCTTCTGCCTTAGCGTCTCAGTCTGATTGCATTTCCATGAAGTAATGATCTTAAATGTTCTTCCTTGAGCTGTGAAACTCCGCTGCTGTGTATTGCTATCATGCGGTCATTCTGAGCATTATTTGTGGCTATAGAGTGGCTTTTTGGTTGAGGCTTGCGTGTGGAGACATAAACTGCTGTGTATTGCTACCCTGCAGTCATTACTTAAGTTGGTATGACTCGAGAAGCAAGCAGTCAGCAACATTCATCTCTCGAGGGGATGTCTAACTCAGTGTTACGGTGTGTTTGACCCTAACCTAATTTTACGCCGGAATATCCCTTTAATTGTCTTCTCTTTCAATGCTCAGACTCATTTCTACAGTGTTTTCGAACCTCTCAGTAAATCCTTTTGTCACCTCTTTGAACGCTTTTTATTGATTTACTGATGAGTCCGTCCTCTCTAATTGCTTAACTTTAATTTCAACCTTCTCTCTGTCCATGGGCATAGAGGATCAATCTGTTACATCTCTACTAGATTGATTAAACTGCTCGATTGATGAATTGGATAATCTGTGTGAACTGCTGAATTGAATTGAATTGGTTTTGCTTCTGCTAGAGCTGCATCTGCTGCAGGGGGCTGCAGTTTTTCCCTGTTGTTTGCATTTCTAACCACTTATTCTTTTACTTCAAATTCAGCCAACCTCTTACTCCTGATCTTCTAATGTGTGTTTTTCTTCATTCATTCTCTGTATTCCTCTGTGTATTTTGTCTATATGTGTCTGTCTTTCCCTGTTTCAGGACCTGACAATGAAGCTCAGTTTAGTCCAGAGTGTGGGACTCATAGCCAGAGCAATCAGAGAGTGTGTGAAGAAACAAGGCTACGTTTTCACTCGCAAACAGGAGCTCATTAATGTCATGCTGGTGAGTCATTTGAGTTGTGAAGATGAGATGATGTGTTGATTGCCTAAAACACAATAGTTGTTTTCTAATCTGTCATCCGGCTCTTTTTTCCACTCTGTTCAGGATTTTATCAAAGCAGAGCCGGCTGATTCATTGAGGACTCCAGTACGCCATCTTGTGATGACCACATGTTCCAACCTGATGTATCCTTGTGATGAAAAAAACATTAGGATTCTTTTTAGTTCTCACTGGTTTAAACTGCTAGAATAACAGCAACAGCAAACCTTTTTTATGGTAAAAACAGCTCATATACGTCTAATATTGTAAAGGATTGAAATGTTTATTTCAGCAGCATCACATTGTTTGGGTTTGGCATCTGCGCTCTGACTTTATCAGGCCTCACAGTTTTATTTTTACATTCACTATTTTGCAAGTGATGAGATCATATCTTAAATCCGCAGAATTTGAGCGAACAAGTGAATTTTTTAGGAGATGGAGGTGCTAAAAGTTTTAGCACAAGGGCAGAGCAGAGACAAAGGGTGTGAACTTAGCAGCTTTATGAGGGTACATTTGTAATTGTGAGAGTGACACATATCAAGTGTCAAATCAGTGCAGCTCCAGTAACTTGCCTGGACTTGCTTCCAGGCATTGCCACTTATTGTTTACTTACTGTGCCTCCAGTTTGGATTTTACAATAGTGGAAACTTACATAGTACGATGATGACATGGATTTCCCTCTAGGCGTGTTTGCATCATAGTGTTTTTGTCTTTTGAGTTCATGTGTATCAGATAAGAGCTGTCACTATGGTACAAAGCAGAAAACTCAGCTCGGGTAAAAAACAATGACTGATTCCTGTGTTTCAGGTTCCTCTGTTTCCCCTTGTTTTTTCTTTAACCGGTTCTGTTTCAGGCCTCTGGATCCCGCTCTGAGTGAGAATGAAAGCTTTGACTTGTTGAAGGTGTGTGTGAACAGTGTGATGTCTCTGCCGCCTGAAACCAGCACTCCAGAGAAAACTAAAGAGGATGAGATACTGGACCCGAAGCAGAGGAAGGTGATTTGAAGCAGACAGATTTGTGCACAAAAATGCTCCCCCGTCACTAGGTTGATTGAGAGCTATGCCCTAAATTTCCACTGTAACGTTCACTCTTGTTTAAATAGGAACTCTTACTTCCATTTAGCATCTCAACTAAAAACATCAGTGCAACATTTTCAAATGTTGTCATGTTTTCAAACAATGAACATGCGCTGACAAATTTGTTCAGGACTTGTACAAGGACACGTTTGCAGCGCTGCAGGAGCTGCTGAAGAGTGTCCTATCCAAAGACCCCACACCGGACGGCCTGCAGAGTGTCTTCAAGGTAAAACCTGGTGTTACAGAGTCATCAAATTTAAAACTAAAAATTATGTGTATCATAGCTTTTAAATCATAGCTTTATTTATCATCTTTAATTTGATTTTTTTTAAATAATTAAAACTTGAATCAGCGTAATAAACATGGGAACTAAAATCAGAGTTTTATCATTTTTCTTTACCCTTTGGCTCCGAGACTCCGAGACAATAAGCTATATCTGTGAACTGACTCACACCAAAGAATGACTTTAACTGCAAAATAATTCAGCATCTCTGAGTTCTAAATGTGCTTTGTTGTCTTGTGCAGCATATTGAATCCTGGTTGAGCTCCACTCATGACCACGAGAGAGAGAGAGCTGTCACAGCCACAGCTCACATCCTGGCAAACTTCCTGGATAACCTGACTGTCAAGGTACACACGCACGCACGCACACACACACACACACACACACACACACACACACACACACACACACACGCACACACACACGCAGCTGCCTGTTTGTCTTGTGGGTTTAATTTAGGACAGTGTAACTACCCTGACTGCACCACAGATGAAAACTTTGATCATGGCCCTCCTCTGTGTTTTGTTCCTGATCATTTCTTAAAAAGCCATCAATGAACTGAAGGGTTATGCTTTTTTATTCCGTTGAGGAATCATCATTTAATGCTCCAACACTCTCTTTTATTTCGACCCATGTCTTTGTCCAGAACATGGTCTCTTTCCACAACCTTGGAGCTCTGCTGGGCCGGCTGTCTCCTCGATGTTCTGACCCTCATCCTGCTGTACGCACAGCTGCTGTTGCCTGTATTTACGCACTACTTTATATACAGCTACGCTATGAAGGTACAGAAACACACAGCCCTCACAATTTATTCTTATAATTTGATATTTTATTTGATTTTATTTCAATCTTTCACTTTGAATCCGACTTTCTTTAATAAGGATAAATACAGGGGAATCTCCTTTTGACTCGCTGTTTTAGTGTTGAACGATATTCTGTTCTTAATTTCCGTCCTCTTTCTTTGTGCGCAGGTTTCTCTCTGGACTACAAAGATGAAGCTGTGGACAGTCTTTTGCCTCTGAAAGACCAGCTAGAAAACCCAGACCATTCTGTTCTGTACAAAACCTGCTCTGACCTCACCAAGGTACACTTCATAGCAATCAATATGACTGTCTCCAGTAAAACTCTTTAAATGTATTTTCATGTTGGGGTTTTCTGTACTCTGCACATGAAGTGGATTTTAAAAGTAAATGATTACTGCAGACACTTTAAGAAGTTTTGTTAAAGAAATATTCTTGCAAAATTTTTGGTTATGGTCAAAGTTTCCCTAAACTCTATTACATTTTCTCCCATCTTAACTGACAGCAATTCAGATCTGAAACAGTTACGGGATAGTGTTATATATTAACTCTGTTGTTATGTTTGGAATAATTTAGTATGATGTTGCTCCTAATGTAAATATAAATATTAATGAATCAGTCACATTTTCAAACCTGTAGCATAGATCAGTGCATTATTGTTTCGCAGTGATTAACTAAAAGTCCATCTGAAAGAGTTACTTGCAAAGACAGCTGTGTGTATGAGACTGTAATGTGGAAAAATGAGTGTTGTCATCACTACGACAATGACCACTTATCTTTTGTCTGTGTGTGTCAGGTGATGAGTAAGCGTCTGCCTCAGGAGCAGCTGTCCACGCTGGTGTTTATGCTGTTTGAAGGACTCATCGACAGTCAGACCAACTGCTGCAGAGCTTCTTCTGTCATCCTGAATACTCTACTGAAGAACAGAGGAGGGGGGCTGCAGGATCAGGTAACACACACACACACACACACACACACACACACACACACACACACACACACACACACACACACACACACACACACACACACACACACACACACACACACACACACACTCTTCAGAATCCCCACTCATTGTTGCATCTATTTAGAAACAGAAATTTTCATTATTTGACACAGAGATGCCAGATGTTCTGAGTTACCTGGCGCTTGTCTGCTTCTTGACATCTGCTGTTATTGCTATAATTGTGTGTTTGTGATTTAGGTCCCAGAGATGCTGGAGATGCTACATTCACGTCTTCAGAGCATCACAGAGGAGCAGGTATGTTTCACATAGAATATCAACTGTAGGGCTTGGACTCCATTACAAAAATCAATCTAATTAATCAAAGGCTTTGTAATTAATTAATTGCAACTAATCCCATTAATCCAGTGAGCCAGAGAGTTTGTTAATTTTTCTGACGTGGACTGACTGGGTGTGGGTCGCTGTACTTGGACTCAGACTAACGTTAGCTTCCACGCTACCTGCAACATATTTAGCATTCAGGTGAAACCAGAGTCTTGGCGTGCTGCGGTGATATGCAAGTCCTTTTTTGCACAAGACTATTTTTTCATCCAGGCTTCCATCCATCTTTTTTAAAAACAAAAACGCCCATCCACGCCAGAGCCAGTCAAAGCACATTCATCCGCTACTTTGTTCATTTTTCCATGCGTTGGTGGGATTGAAACCACTGCTGCACTCACTCTCATTGGGGTACATCGGTATAAGCGGTATACCTGAATTAATCGGAATTAAGGCGTTAAAGTCCCGGCCCTGATAAATTGCAAACAAATCTGTTCTCCATTCATAATTGAGACGTATTTAACAGTAATTACTCGGCAACTATGAAATTTTTGCTTTACTCATTTGTTTGTAACGACTACTTCATAAGCAGCTGTCTTTATCTGCTGAGCTTTAATAAAATCACGCTGTTTATGTTGTTCAGGTGAGAGTGGCAGCAGGACAGACAGTTCTGATCCTGGCCTCTCAGCATCTACAGACTGTAATCAACACCCTTGTGAACCAGCCACTTCCTTATGACAGGTATTTCTTCTGATCTCCCAAAGCCACGAGGTTTTGATTGTTTTTATTATTGTTTTAAGTTTAAAAAACAAAGCCTTACATTTTTCCTGTCTCCTCATCCAGCTGGATCAGTGAAATGTGGATGGCCTTGGGAGCGGACCCTATCGTAGCCAATCAGATTATTGAGATGGTGATGGAGAAGCTCGTCATCATGGCACCATACGTGGACAAGAAGGAGTCAATCATGAGAGGAGGGATGACAAAGATGGCCACTAATCAACCTCTGGCTGTAAGTCACAAACTCACAGACACATTCATTTGATCACAAAGGCCATGAAAGAAAAAAGGAAGTTCAAAAAATAAAGTGAACCATGACAGTAAGATGATGAAACTGTCATCTTCTTTGAGTTACACCATGTCCATGTAACACAGCAGCAGCAGCAGCAACCCCTGATGCTTTCAGGGACAGGTGTGACAATAGGTCCCCCACAGCTAAATACACAGTTTGACTTCACTGGGAACCTGTAAACTTGTTTTTAATGGCTGTAATTACTGATTCGATTGTGGTGTCTCTCTTTTTTCTTTGCCTCCAGATGACTTGTGGGCTGAAGGAGCTGTTATTAAACGGTCAGAGTCAGGAGCCGGCTGTCAGCATGTTTCCTCAGCTCTTCTCTTGTCTCACTGTCAGGCTGGGAGCAAGTGTTGGTGTTTCTGCACCGAAGGACAACAACTCTAAAAATGCTGCCCCCGTCCATGTAGCAGGGTGGGACTCTGTCTCTCTTTAAGGATTGATATTGAAGATCAATCTCTGACACAGAACAGTTTCACACAAGTTAAACTTTTCTGTGTGAGCTGACAAGTTGGTGTTATTGTTGTTTGTTTCAGGGTGGCAGCGGATGCGCTGAGAATCTTGTTGGCTCGGGCTCAGCTGGATGAAGTGATGAAAAAGCTGGATGAAGATAACGCCTGGGAAGCAATGAAGGAACAGAATACTCACATTGCTGGAGTCACACTGCTGGCAAGGTGTGATTCAGTCCTTCAGTTTAAGCTCTGATCAGGAATTCAGTCCAGTTTAATGCTACTACTGTCAAGTTGGAATTTAGCTTCCAGAAATTTCTGCCAAAAAGATCATCAGTACTGTCATTTGTTTAAACACCATCAGAAACTTAAAGGGATATTCCAGCGTAAATTTAAGTTATGGTCAAACGCGCCGCAACACCAAGTTAGACAGCCCTCAAGAGATGAATGTTGCCAACTGCTTGCTTCTCTAGTAACGACCGCACTATAGCAACACACAGCAATCCATGTCTCCACGTGCAAACCTTAACCAAAAAGCCACTCTATAGCCACAAATAATGCTCAGAACAGCACCTAACTTCATCAACAGTACATATAGGGTCCCAGCCATAGGACTAGCCATCAAACTTCTTTTTAGCTTTGCCTGGTTTCTTTAGCAAAGAGACTAAACACAACTCACCCACTCTCATCCAGCAGCCACTTGTTTGTGGGGGAGCCCTGATGAGTCGATCACCGAGTGCAGCGGAGTTTCGCAGCTCAAAGAACATTTATGATTGTTACTTCATTGAAATGCAATCAGATAGAGATGTCAAGGCAGAAGGACTACTGTGTCTGCAGTGCAAAATGATTATGATGATGATCTTACTTTATAGTAATGTTACGCTGCACTCTGTGATCGACTCGTCAGGGCTCCGTCACAAACAAGAAGCTGCTGGAGGAGAATGGGTGAGTTGTATTTGGTCAGACAAAGCTAAAAAGATGTTTGGTGGCTAGTCCTATAGCTAGGACCCTATTTGTCTGTTGATGAAGTTAGGTGTTGTTCTGAGCATTATTTGCGGCTATAGAGTGGCTTTTTGGTTGAGGTTTGCGCTTGGAGATGTAGACCACTGTGTATTGCTATCGTACGGTCGTTACTAAAGTTTGTATAACTACAGAAGCAAGCGGTCAGTAACATTCATCACTATTGTCTAACTCAGTTTTACGGTATTTTTGACCCCAACTTAAATATCCCTTTAAAGTGGGATGGTCAGCACATTGAGGGGGGTCAGAAATGTTTTTATTGTCCTTTTAGAGGAAAATACCTGGAGCCTAAAGTCAATTCTTGCCTGTTCCTCCTCTTGATAAACATTCAAACTCTGTTCCTCATAATCAGTATCAATCATGTTCATGTTGGTGTGCTCCTCTGGTCTACAGGGCAATGGCCAAGCATGCAGGTCCCAGGTTGCCCGCCATCGTGGAGTGTCTGTGTCCCTCTTTGAACAACATTTATGAGTGTCAGAGAATCACTGTCACGGCTTTTTTCTCTGAGGTAATACTGTTTTATGAACGCCTTTTTTTAATGCACCTGCACTAAGTTTAAATAAAAAGATTTCAAGACAAACTAAAATACTGCAAGATTTGAAGATATCTCAAAGTTTTCACTAAATAGCAGATGGGCAACATAAAAAACAGAGTATGAGGTTTTTTTCTTTCCCTCTGTCTTTAGCTGTTAAATCACCACGTGGTGACCGAGCTGATGCTGATCGACGTTTTAATGAATAACATGATGGAGAGGATATCAGATCCCTGCTGCACTGTTCGCATGTTGGCCGTGCGGGGGCTTGGCAATATCGCCGTGGGATCACCAGAGAAGGTACAACACTCACACTGTAGCGATCCAGCAAAAGGAAAAATGTCAAATCAACCATCGTGAGTAAAGATAAGCTCTGCTACAGGATGAGCTCCTAAATCACCAACAGTTTTTTAAATGTCTTTCTACCAGGTGAATAAGTATGCCAAGGAGCTGCTGGCAGCCATGAGTTCAGGCATGGAGGAGAAAGATGACCCTGGTAAGCTGACAACGACCTCATGAAATCATAGTTATGCGGTTATTTTCTTTAGTTTGCAACAACGCCTAAAGGTTTAAGTCGAATCGATCTTGTTTGTGATAACAGATCAGTTTTGTTTGGTAGAAATGTCCTTTTTCCCTTTGTCTCCCTGCAGGTAAACTGATTACTCTTGAAGCAATGTCAGGCCTCTCTAAAGTCCTCCTCTATCTCGACAAGAAGAACGTTCACTTACTGGTTGTGTATATCTTTATGAAGATCAAACCATTCCTGGAAAGTGTAAGTGTCTTCAGATTGCTCAAGGCATAAAAGTAGTCATCATAAGTAGTGATGCACGATATGAAAAATTTCAACCGATACCGATAACCGATAATTTTCTTCTTCTCATGGCCGATACCGATACCGATAACCGATAAATTCATATTTTTACATTTATTATAATCTTCATAAAATCTGCAGTTTGTGCAGGATGCAGCGATTGAAAACTGATATTTTTGTTGCTCTGGCCTATCTAGAACAACAAACAAAAGTTTTTGGCTCTTCAAATGTGGTCATTTGCTATAAATAACAATAACAGAGCAAAAAGCAGAACTTCATTTGATCCCCTGAACTGTTCAACAGAACTGTAAACGGTAAAGGAGCCATTATGAGCCGTTAGGCTTAGCATGCTGACCGGACTAACATCTGACGTCCATATGTCTGTGGTAAAACTCACGTGTAGTCCGTTCTTGTCGATCAGGTTGTGAATGTTTGTGGCGACAATATCACAGAGTGCAGGAAGAGACACATCCGAGAAGAAGCGGCGGCTTGGGAGAGTGTAACGTGGCTCCAAGTGTGCTATGAACTTACGAAAACCCGGGTTCTCAACGACGGAAAAAGGCTGGTCGTCGACCGCTCTGAATTCCATCACTTTGTCGTTAATGGCTTTAGCCTTTTCGCTGTCTCTTGAGAAGCTTTTGCAGTTTTTAAACGCCCGCTGAATGGGGACATCGATCCTCCGTAGTGTTGTTGTCTTAGCTTTAGTACCGCTAGCAGCTTCGGCGGCTGTCTCATATTCTTTTAATACTGCTTCGCCGCGATGGCGACTTTTCAGATGAGCTATCAGATTCGTTGTGTTAAAACTTGACGTCTTCTTTCCTCCTCTCGGAATCCTCGCTGAACAGGTTTTGCATATAGCAATGCTGTTGTCATCTTCTGCCACTGAGAGAAACGACCATGCTAGTGAAGACATTTTATTATCTGTCAGGCAGTGACGGGGTCAGGCTTGGGACCTGCGAGTAAAGCTTGATAGAGGATGTTACCAGAGCGTCTCGGACGGGCGGCTACTCCGCCTGCAAACGTTACTCGTAATTTCATTAATATATCGGATCTTTCTATCGGAAAAATGCACCTATCGGACCGATAAAAAATGACGTAATTTCCCCCCAAATCGGCCGATATTTAATCGGTCCGATAAATATCGTGCATCCCTAATCATAAGTTGATACCAGCGTCACATTAGCAGCATTTGAAATATGCCGGTGTTGTCTTAAAATGCATCACACAGTTTTTGAGTCTTTAATGATCCTGGGCAGAGGTTAGTTAATTCTCAGCCCTAATGTTTGTTAGACGGTGAAGTTTTTCCCACGTTCACTAAAGTAAATTTCACTTTCATGATCTGTCTCTATTCGTGTCCAGGAAAATGACGACATCCGCTGCGCCTCCATCCATCTGATGGGGAATCTGTCCAAGTTTGGCTCAGGAGAGCCGGTGTTCAAAGACCAGATCCACAACGTCCTGGTCAGCCTGCTGTTACACCTGGTCGATCCAAACCCAGAGGTGGTCAAGGTACAGGGAGAAGTTCGCTCGACTAATAGTGACTTTTTTTTTTTAACTTGATTCCTACAGATCCTGTTCTCCCTTTTTTTTCACTCTGCAGGCATGTAAGTATGCGATGCGTGTGTGTGCCCCAGTGGTGGGGTCAGAGCAGATCACAACCATGTTTCAGAACCACCTCCACGAGGACAAGAGCCTGCACTACGGAGAGTTCATCAATGACCTCACAAAGTACCTGGTGAGACACACGTTTACATGGCTGAATGAGGGGAACAGTTCACCGTCCTCTAATCTATCAGTTCTGATCAAATATTGATTTTACTTTGGGTTGAATTTGGTTTCCTGCTGATTTTGTTGCCGTTTGCCGTTAAAGTATTTTTTGGGGCGAATTTGCCTTTATAGATAGGACAGTGTGAAATGTGGGGTGATAGAGAGAGAGGGGGGAGGACATACAACACATGGACGGGTCCGGACTCGAACCCGCAACCCCATGTGTGGGGCGCGCTAACAGGCTCGGGCATCTGTGCGCCCATGTTTGCTTAAATTGTTAAACAGTACTTTAAGAATGAAACAGATCTTTTAGATTAACATGAACAGTCTTTCTTCTCCTCTCAGATAATGAATGATGTTCTTGAACTTTGTGAGTGTATTTGAATTTGATTGCGTGTTTTGTGTTTTATTATTTTATGTTTTTTCTCCTGTAAAGCACTTTGTCTGGCCTGTCCTATAAAGGTGCTATATAAATAAACGTGACATTGACATTTTGTGGTTCACAGATTCAGGACTTCCCCAGCATGCTGAACTTTTATCACATCTCAGTCATCCAGTTCTTCAAGAGCAACTGGCATGAAGTCAGAGCAGGAGCCGCCATGTTCATAGGTACGACCATGACACGGTTTCACCTCTTAGAGCACACTAATCCAGCAGCAGTTAGAGCGCACGTGAAAATACTGTAAAACTAGTGAATTCAAGTTGATGTACAGGTCAAAAATGTCATGCAGCCTAACCTAAGGTTGTTGTATTGAATCAGGGTTTCTGTTGGGGAACCTCCCAGAGGAGCATCTGTCCCACCTCAACATGGGGAGCATCACCAAAGGTAACACCATACATGTCCTTCTTCACACAGAAGTGTTCTGGCTGTTGTCTTACACTGACTGTTTCTGCCCCTCTCAGGTTTGGTGATGCTGCTCCAGGATCCTGATCCTGTCGTTAGAGCGAAGGCTGCTGAAGCCATGGGTCATTTCCACTGACACACACTCACACACAGATCTACATACACATGTCACTTTGTCCTCTCGTCACAGGAAGTAGATAACCACTACATGAAAACAATGATTTAGCAGTTTACTGAAACCTTTAGAGCCTCATCATCAGAAGAGTTCAAACCAAAACCTGAACCTGTGCAGAGAGAAAGAAAGCCAAACTTATATATTCACTGATGTAATACTCTCAAAATAAACACTATTACACACAAATGCACATATATACAGACATTAGACGCTCTTTTTGTGTAGCTTCTCAACTATAGTACTTGAAAAGAAAAACTTTGTTTTATTCTAGTGACCAAAAACTGTGTTGCCCTTTTCAGAGAGACGGTCTGTGGTCTGTCAGTGAGTCAATACCAGAGGTAAACTGTGCTGTACAAATGAATTATAGCATCTGTGTTTAAGTTAAAAGAAAAAAAACACACATTGAGTGCACGTTAGTTACTTTTAGACCGAGTGTGGTTTCTTCAAATATTCAAAGTCATACCAGCATTTTGTGATCCATGTGCATGTCGGGTTTAGCTTTTCATTGTCCAGGGAAAAAGTGGTTTCAAGGTCTGAAAGTCATCTGTGCAGAACATTGCCATTTACCTTTTTACAAAGCTGCTCTGAGCTTCATCCCTCCACTCCACAATGAAACGTTTCAGTTCAGTGAAACAGGCAGCACCCTGAGTAAGGACTTAAAACAGTCCTGTTAGTTGAGCTGCTGTACATGCTCACAGTTTGGTCTATTTTCTCATCATAAAAACCATAATATTTCTGTTTTTATACATCACTGCCATCACAACAGCTGATGATTGTAATAAGTCATATTCTGGTGTTTCCATGCATCCTTCAGCCTGTTTCATCTGCACATAGAATAACTTTCAGTTTCCTGTTATGTACAAGAGTATAGCTATTGCACGACACCATGTGGTAGCTGTGATAAACACAACAGCTCCTCTGCAGATCAGAATGAATTCACTTTCAGACTAGTGTGTACAAGTGTAGCCATGCCTAAAAGAACGGTTTGTGCCAAATGTTTGATAAAAGATGATCATAATAATAATAATAATAATAATGATAATGATAATAATAATAATACCACTGTAAGATGCTCTTAATGATTTCCTCTCTTAGTTTGAATGCACTTAATATTGTTTCCTTGTAATTATTCCATGATATGATTGTACAGTTTTAGGGTACAGCTGTGGGTTCACAGGCCTTTTACTATCGTGTAAATATAAATGTGTGCATTTGTGTAATATGTAAGGATGTCCGAATGTGTTACTTGACTTTTATAATTTCACATTATTCACTCAAAGATCCTCAAAGGAGGAAAACAATCTGTCATGTGTCTTTTTAATTCAACTCAACTCAAAGAAACATCCTATGGAGAGTCATCTGAAAGCAATACTTTGTTCTAGGTTCGTGATTTTGTATCTCGGTTGCACTTTTAAGCTCTGCTGTGAATCCCTGATGATAGCACTAAAAGAAAACCTCGGGGCTGATGGAAGTCTTGATTCTTATTTTCTTTACCTATTGAAATCATATGAGCGCCTTTTCCCCCCAGACAACTAAAATCAGCTGTTTACAGTTTTAAAGAAGGTTATTCCAGTTTTTTTTGTTTCTTTTTTAAGTTAGAAGAACTCAGACATTCAGACCATAAATAATATATTTATGAATGAGATCTAAAATTCTGCTCCTGGGCCTGCATTAGTAATATTATGGGATCGTGGCTTCCAGCACTTTCCGTCACTGTGGCTTGGTATAGGGTGAACAGTGAATGGTCTTAAGCTTTGTCCTGTGTTTTTAAAGCTGTTATGAACCTTTTTTCATCAATGTAATTTTTCATGTCCATTTGTTTTTAATATTCTGCATTTTCGTTACGAATGTCTCTGTAGTGCGAACGACACAGGAAGGTTTGTTTTCTTACGTGAATGTTTGCATGTCCTTTTGTGTGCTTCTGTACAAGGAGAGAGAAAGAGAGTGAATTATGGTAATCAGTGTCTTTAAAATGAAGAAATAAAGAGATTCATCAAAATATAATTGGTTATTCTTTATTCTCTGGTTTGAGTCCAGTGTTGAATACAGTTGTACTTTTGTCAGTGTCCACACGAGGGCAGCAGAGAGTTATGAATTGGTAGTATGAAAATGAATGACACAAACGTCTTGGTTTTGTGAGAGGCTGCTGATCAAATAGCTCCTTGGGTTAAGTTTATTTTAATGCAGAAAGAGAATAAATCGAGTGTTCCCTCAGGTTGCCAGGCTGACAGCAGCATATTCCCTTAGCTGATTTCTTTCTGCTTTCAAATCAGGATCTACCCAAACTAAAAGTTTCTGCTGAAAAATAGAAAACTTTAACGTTTGAGTGATTTATTTCATCATCTGCTGCAGTGTATGGATTCTTAAAATTATGAAACATCTGTCCTTTGTCTTTCATTTTGCGCCTGTGTGAACCAGCTCATGCAAACCAGAACAATACAGTGTCATACGGTCCCTAATAGAAATGTCTCTTTATGCACAGAAGAATCAGCATCAGAGTACATGTGAGCTGAAAAATGGGGCTGTTGTATAAGAACTTCGGTCAATAATAAGACTGTTGTTATTCTCTGAAAGAGGAGCAACATTAATCAACATTATGGAGGCTGAGCGCTGGGTTTTGTTGGTTGCTCGTGTAAGGGAGATGACCTTGGTTTGTACTGAATAAAAGAAAAAACCTTTTGATATTCCCGTTTCTTTCAGTTGTTCTGTTGCAGAGACAAGTATCAACTCTTTTGTTACTTTATGAATCGATCTATGTCTCTGTGAAAGAAGGAACAAAACATGTACAGGTCTGATTGTGAAGCCTGTAGACGTAAGAGCTGCTGTAACTCGTTATGAGCCTTCTTGGTTGGTTTTTATAACCAGATCTGGTGTATGTGTTGTTCAATGTGTGAAGCAGGATTTGTTGTTGTTGTTAACGTGTCTTCGGTTTAAGTTGCTTCACACCTGTCCTACATATTTATTTTGATACATGATCTTTATTTAAGTATTTCCAAGCTAAACACTGGTTTAACGACATTTTCTCCACTACCTGGGTGCCCTTAATTAGCTTTTTACAGCACATAACCCTTCCCTTGCTTTCTGTTATTGAGGTCTCCGATCCTCGTCAGCATTTACTTAAGATTAATTTAGGTATAATAAAAACATGTCACACATTAAGAATGGTATAATATCCACATCATGGGCAGTATCCTCTGTCTTTCTCAAAGCTTAGTTTCGCTCTCCCGGAGCGCAGACATTACATTGTTTTTGAAGCAGCACAAACTCTCACTAATGAGGACCAGAACAGATGGCTGATGATAATATCTTCAAAGTTAAGATGTGTTTCAGAGCCTCTTCAGAAACAGGATTAGAATCAGTAAAATCCAGTTAATTTGGGAAACTGGCTCATTTTTCTGTCCTCTAATCCTTGGAGACGACGACGATGATGATATTGTCCTGGCTTTCATGTGATCACTGAAACCTTTGTGGATCCATCAAATGCTCATACTGAAGGATGAACATACATACGCCAGTATTTCTCCACCTGAATGCTGGCTTGGATTCATAAATTGCTTCAGATCTACCTAACAGAAATATCTCAGCATTTCTTGCTGACATAATAAAATTAGCTAAACTACAGGACCTTAAGGTTTGTAGCATAACGTTTTATTAAGTGGAGCCTTGAGAATACTTCTCTAATGGTATGACAGTTTCTTTAAAATGATCTCAATGTTTCACAAATTATCCTTTTTAAGTTTTCCTTGTTAAGGACTCAACACCTTTTGCTTCCTCGAACATGTGATACATTTTCCACTCATCCAGAGTTACCTTCAGGATTCAGAAGAATTGGATTTCTGTTCTTCTTTTAGAAGAGAGGGACAAAATGAGGAACAACTTTTCACCTCTGATACATATCTTTGTGGATCTACCAAATGCTCATTCTGAAACAGGATACATATCTGAGGTGAAAAGTTGTTCCTCATTTTGTCCCTTTCTTCTAAATTGTCAACAACTCTTCACTGCCTCCTACAGTCACTGCAATCTATAAGCCTTTTGTTATATAACCCTGATGTGTTTAGATTCAGAGACTATACAGTGATCTGTTTTTATTTAGCATGAGTGTAAAATCACAGTGAATTTCAGCTTTGTGCTGCAGCCTTCTGAATGTGCTGAGTTTGCAGATGCAGATTTTTATTCCACTGTCCAATGGACAAAGATGCCTAAATGGCCCATTGAGGTTTATTATGAAACCTTGGCAACAGTTGATTATACCAATTTTACTATATAAATTAGTCAAAGTTCAATAATACTTAAAGTAACAGAATTTTGGGAGCAATAGGACGGGTTTCTGACTCAGTTCAACCTTGATTTTTGGTTTGGCAATGTGTATCAATCCACTCTAAAAAGTAGTTCCAAACAAACACATACCATATTTTCCCTTTTCACCATTTTTAAAACCTAACTGGCTCAGCTGTTTTTGACAGGGGCTTATCAAGACTTTTTGGCCAAGGTGCCCCAACTCAGCCACTGACAGCAAGGATGGCACGAAGTATACTTTCGGAGCATTTAATTACCCCTTTATTGTCTTCATTAATCATGTATTTTTCAAACACTTACATAAGGGTATTATATAGAGGTTTCAATCACTCTCAATAGGTCTTTTTACTTAAAATGATAACCCTCAAAGCTGTCACACTAAGTTCTTTTCCAACTCGGTAAGAGGACATATGATCCTGAGTCATGATTATAATAGCTGCAAACTGAGACTACTAGCAACCTGTTCAAACCAAAGGCTATCAAAGACTTGGACTTAACTCAGTGATTTTACTCATTGGTTTCCGAACCCAGTATTTGAAGCCTGATGACAGTTTTCACCCTATTAGGAATGACGACCAAGCAAAAGGTCAAGAGGCATAGTTTTAGCCTCCCTACTAATAGATACGCTAAGTTCCCTTATCAGCCAAGTCAGCCATGTCCCTAATTATGCAAAACTGGTAACCTTGATCTTCAAATCAGTGTGTGTGGAAAAAGAAATTAAGTATCGAGAGCTGCTGGCAAATGTTTTGTGGCAAATGCTGTAAACATGTTCTTTTTTGTTGTTGTTGATGGGTTGAATGGGTGTGTATGTGGCGTCTGGTGCTTTTGGTGCTAGCCTCAAGTGGACTAACAGAGTACTGCAGTTTTAGCGCTTCCACATTGACAGCATTTCTCAAGATCAGCAATTGATTTAAAAATGTAGATAACCACTTATGATTTAGGAATGAACAGTTGACTATGCCTTTTCGAAATGACGGTCCATGTTCTCAAAAACCACTCGATTTGACTGTAAGACCCACAGACAGGTAAAAGAGATGAGCAAACATACTGGTATTCGACTTTTTTATAGGTTTACTGCCAAGAAACACAGTTATAGAATATTGTCAGACATTTCTGAAAATATAAATGTTGTGCTTTAATGTATTTCAGACACACTTTAAATGCTCTTAACATCAGCATGGAGATTCAGGGACAACAAACTGTAGGATTTGCCCAATGGATAGATTTTTTTCTTCCCTCTACTCTTTCGTCATAATGCTAAACTCCTCCTAGGATTCAGTCAATTCAGCCCTTGGATCCAGTAAGTGCAGTGTGAAAAGGGCTCATTATTCTCGGGGGCTTTTATTGGCGTAGTTGGGCAATGTAACTCTGGTTGGAGCGAAAGCAAGCCATGCCTCTAGGAGGAGTATTCGTACTCCTCAGCGCTGCGCCGTCCAAAGTCCATCCAGCCGAGGTAATCTCTGTCCATTAGCCTGTGAGCGGAGCCTGGTCCACTGGCTCTGCTGGTCAGGGAGGTTCTGCTGTGGTAGGGGGAGACTGGAGGGGAGAGCGTAGAGGACATGAGGAAGGCTTGGACAAAACATGCTGACAGTACTCATTTTTCCACCTGCGCTATCCGCGATATTAAAATGATATCTCTGAATGAGGGTGTACGTCTGTTATACTGACTTGTTTTGTTTCTATTCTTGTATCTGAGAGCTCAGCAGGTCTGACAGTCACACAGTGTTTGCTTTAGAGGGAACAGATACAGCCTGACAGAGAGAGTGAGGTCAAGAGGTAAGGAGACAGGTGAAGGAAGTAAGGAAAGAGGACACAGACTGGTGGAGGGACACTGATGACAGAAATGGAAAAGGAAGAGGGAGTGAACAAGGAGGAGGTATGGGAGGAGAGAGAGAAAGAGAGAGCTGGAGGGAGGCTGGAAATGCCAGATGGTGGGACGCAGACACAGCATGACTGACGGCACATTTACAGAGGGATGGATCTCAAAGAGGGGGAAATAACAAGACCAGGAGGGAAATAATCCGAGGGAGCTGATCTGTGTGTGACAAGATCACTGAAGGGAAAGACTTTGCTCCAAATACGTGACTGTTTTTGAACGGCTCACCTTTCCTGGAGAGGAGTCTGGCTAGAAGCTGGCTCAGGTTGCTGCGAGCGTCTGTCTCCTCCTGGCGTTGGTTGTAGTTGGTCAGCAGACCTGGTGGGGGCGCAGGAGCTGAGCGGGTGTGGCGTGTGTGGTTGGGTGAGGGGGGAGGCAGGCTGTCTGATGCGAGAGCCTCTCCCTCAGCTTTCTGTGACTAGAAGCATTCAAACAGATCGAAAATTAGAGCCTGAAATTCGAATCATGAGTTAGTGAGATTTTACAGCAAACTGATATATTTTTTTTTATTTTTAAAACCTAAAACTCTCAGGGAATCATTGAGAATGATAATTCCCATGCAGTGATTAAAGGACATCTCCACATCTGTGTGTTTCTTACCATTAAATGTGACGGCAGACTCAGGGAGCCACTGGATAACGCAGCGAGGAGGACACACACACAGATTCCTACATTCATAGCTGTTAAGAGAGAGAAAAACAAAAAGCGATGAGAAATCCACATCCATTTCCAATCTGCGCCGTTCACTGCCTCTCCTCTGCTCTCCTTTATTGTCTCCTTCAGTTTGTTAAACACAGCCTGTGTTTCTGTGAAATGAAATAATCGCAGCAGATGAAGGTTTGAGTGAACGATGAATCCTATTACTTTGTTGGAGCGGGGTGTTAAAGGGGGCTAGATTGACCCCTGAGGATTCAGCTGGACCCTGGGGCCAACATCATATTTTCTTTCTTTCATGCTACACACACACACACACGCACACGCACACACACATGCAGAGTGAGTGTGTGCTGGCTGTGATGAATGCTTCTGTCAGCACCAGCATCCCAAAGGGCTCATACCAATTATCTCTTGATCCTCACTTTGCTCTGTGTATTGTTGTTTTTGAACAGTCAACATTAACACGACAGCACGGAGAGCGCAAAGACATGGATTTTTCTCTCTCTCTCTTTACTCTCTTGGGTCATTCAAAATTACAAAAAGAGCATGTGAATATAAACCTTGTTTCCGCTTTCTCCCTCTAATCCAAAATCCGGGAAGTTTTTAGAAAAGTAAAAAAAAAAAAAAGATGCATCAGGTTGAAGAGACATGAACAAAAACGTACATCATAATACATTCTGGTTGAAATGACGGTGCTTTTTATGTTCACCTGAGGCTGATGAAGTGGCTTATTAGTTGTGATGAATGATGCTTTGTGTCAGAACATTCCTCCAGAACAAATCATCCAATTACATCAAACCAGCAACGCAAGTCGCTCTGAGGCTTTCAGTCTCCCATCATTCAGAAAACAGACACACAAACACTCACACACAGCAGATGATTAGGATATCAACTACAAGATGTCCAACGGCATCAAATCAGACATGGAATGACATTTGTTTGAAGACTCAACATCTCCTCCTCAGGTACAGTCCTGGACTTCATATCACCACAAACAACTTAATGGTCATTTACCTCTGATTGCTTGATGGTTATTGCTCAGATAAATGCAAAACTATCAGTTCTCTTAATTGTCAGGCTCATGTAGTTTTACACCAGTATCTCTTTGTCTCGAATATCTGTGTCTCTCTAATTTCATCGCTCTACTCAACATTGGTCCATTTGAATAATCTCATTTAAATCTACTCATGGTGGCGTAAGCAGTCATTCTCCTCATGTTAATATAATTCCATTTAGCAGCTGGTCTTTGTCTCATATTCATCACTCAATGGGCTGGTAATGATGTGGTACTGAAATGTGTGTGAAAGCCCTCTCCTCTCCTTTCCTCTCCTCTTCTCCTTTCCTCCTCTCCTCAATATCAAATCCTACCCACTCCAACTCTTCAGTTTCCTATCCTTTCTATCCTCCTGTCTCCTTTTTATCAGGAAACTAGAGAAAGTTTGTCCTTTTATTAAAATCTAAAATTTCTCTACTTTTAGTCCTTTGCATAAACCTGCATATCTTATCACTTTAACAGACACAGATAACGTGGCTAACATGGAAACATTGATATCTTTATGTCCTGGCAAAATTTAAGTGATGATACAAGATTGCCCTAATGTGATTAATAATGTGATCATTTTAACATTCAGTCACTCATGTTATGAAATAGATCACCTGCTCTGTAATGGATGTACATCCGCCTATCTACTCACTTTCTATCAGTTTGATCTCAAATGGCAGGTTTACTTCTTGAGCTTACTCACATTTAAGCAGAAACTCATGAACCCAAATAAAATAATTTTGAAAAAGTTTTTAAAATCTAAACATTTTTAAAAAATGCAAAAAATGGTTGAAGGTTTGAAACAAACTTCAAGTGACAAATTATAAAAAAAAGACTCATCTTTTAAATTTCAGGTCAGAATTTGTAGATTGTACATTAAACTTTACACATTGGACCAAATCTTGAAGTGCAACAGATAAAAGTATAGAAACAAGAAAGTACTATAAAGCAGAGTAAAGAAAAATAAGCAGGAAAACTAAAGAAACGTGACTTACTGAAGGTTTAGTTTTCATTGAAAATAAAAGCCAAATGACTGCAAATAAATACTGAGTTCCACAGAGCGGATCTCTCTAAAAGAAACTTTTGGTTGAATGTGTTTCTGCTACAACAGGAACATAGAAACAGAAAAGTAGATTCAATTCAGATGATGTATTTTGTTCCTACCTGCAGTTGGTTTAGACCAGGACAGGATGAGTCTGAGGATGTCGAGTTTGTTCCTGCAGCGCCCAGGTTGGAGCGAATGTGAGAAAGAGAGGGAAGACCATGTCTTATACAGACACACACAGGAAGTGGGAGGGGTCAGTACGGGTGGGAGGAGCCTGCTGGTGGCGCAGAAACTGACAACAGCATTGACGCAACTGTGGACGCACACTGCAAACACACAAACTCATTCATACAAACATGCAGATACACTAAAATATGAAGAGGGGTCGGGACGACGGTGGCAGCTTTAATCATGTCAAGTCTTTTTCATTCATCTGTGTGTAAAAGTAGACACACTCACACACACATACATAGTTTTGATGGTTCTGTGTCAGGAAAGAGAAGTTGAAAGGTCCTCAGATATGAATCACAATATATATGTTTTGGATTTCAGTGGCACACATGTGCACACACACACTCACTCTGTCCATCCGTCTGTTTGTCCATAAAGTATCAGGGAGTGACTGACATGAGAAGACTGAGTTGTGTATTCATCACGTGTATTTATGTATAGAAATAGGAGATGTAGGGGAATTAAAACAACAACAAAAACTGTCCCACTGAGCAGCAGGAGGCCTCAATTCATCCACTGATTCACTGTGATTGAGTTTTCAGCTTACAGCTCTGAGCCCGTCACGTTTCATTGAGGGGAAATCACTCCTGCGTTGTCGAGCTCTGACAGGTCAGTAAAAGAAAGACACTTCTCTGCAATGCTTTCTTTTCTAAATACCGCAAATTATCACTAATGGAGTTCTGACAAAGCGGATATAAAGTGGGTCAGGATGCAATTCTGAAACTTTCAGTAAGCCTTTTCTTGTGTGCACTGGAAGAGCAATCATTCACATCTTACAGGAAAATCACCACTAAAAGCATTTTAAAAGAAAAAGTGCCCACTTTCAAGGTTAATGTAAATCTGTTTCATTAAAAAATGAACCAAAACCAGTTGAATACACAAAGTCTTCCCCATTATTTAGAGATTTAACACCAATAACATCATAATATCGTATGAATACCATCATTGCTTTTGTTCCTGTAACAATCCAAAGCACTTTCAATAGGCTGCAAATGTAGACGCCAAGTAAGAAACACAAGGAAAGAACCTGACGATAGCAGGGGTGTGTTTCAAGGGTGTCCAGGGGTGGCACTGCCCTACTGACAGACATTTGATTAAAAGTCCCTTATGAACATGGGACAAATTTTCAGATGGTTGTGAAAGAGACGAAATTCAATATGAGAAGAGACTAGAAATGTAAGGTTCAACCCACCAGTGGACAGTATTTATCAAGGCAAAGAATCTGAAAAAAAAGGAATATACGGTATTTTACTATTAAAGACAGGAGGTTGATTTTGCTTATGAAACGTAGGATGAATCCAGCAAAGACTGCTCTGTCCAAAAGGGAACCAAAATCGACTCAAACCACAAATTTCTTTGAAGATTTAAAGGATTGTGGGCAGTGTCCTTGTGCTTTTTGTTGGCAGCCTCTCAGTTCCAGAAAGTCTCTCACCAGCTTTTACTGTTACTGTGCCGTGAAAGTTGTTCTCCAGCACTTCACCGTCCTTTAATAGATATGGTTAGGTCTGTTTTAAAACGCTCTGCAGGCTCAACGTTAGCTTTCAGTTCAACAGCATCTTACATTGAAAACATAAAGACAAGTCAAATCTTTTGTAGCAGCACCTGAGAATCATACATGAAAAGAACAAGCTGAGACACAAGTGTAGAAAACAGACGCTGCCAAAGTAACAAAAAAATGCAATAATGGAGGTTAAAGTTGGAAGGGAAACAGTATTTATAAGAGTGTGTGCTCACAGATATATTATGTCCCAGATAGCCACCCCTGCTCTTATCGATGCCTTAGTTGGGCCACCCCCTCTACAAAAGTCTGGATGCGCCCCTGCACACTGGGCTAAGTTTGCTAAAAGTAGCTGCAAGGCTAATTATGATGAACAGGCGAAGGAAGCCGCTCTTAGCAGCTGTCAGTTTATCCAAGCCATCTGCTCAGCAGAGCCCATAACTCAGTAAGTCGTGTGTTTATTTATTTATTCATCCTGTAAAGTTGTGGTTCTGAACATTGGTCAGTAGTGCGTGGAAATGATCACGCTCAGCTCTGTTTCTATGTGATTTTATAGTCGGTACATTTACTGCCTTGCCTTCTTCACTGTCTCTCCGCATTGATGAAGCTAATGCACTGAGCGCCCCCTGCAGGTCTAGAGCACTTCTTTTCCAGTGACTGCACACCTTTTTTCTGGGTCCATGAGTGGCCGACCTTGTATTTTTCACTCACGGTGCGCTTTTTTTTCCCATTTCAGCACATTTGTGACGACTTTTGAATGCGTTTTCAAATTTGTATCCTTTCCCACATTGCAGCTGTATAAACCTCGAACCTCGAAAAACTGTGTGAGCAGTTGCAGCTAACACTTTTGTAAACCACCAAACCTTCATGTCTAACATGTAATGGTAATACATACTATAAGATTTCAAACTCTTTTTTTTTTTTTTGGCAAACTAAATGAAATGTTGGAATAAACTTCAAGTTTCAGGGTCAAAAACACTAAAAGAAAGAAAAAGCATCTCCTCTTTGGTCACAAAAGATGCCTGTCATCCAGAGTGAAGGGGCTTTGTAGAGAAAGACTGAATGGAAAAGGTGCACACTTGAGTAACAACCTGAAGTGTTTTTGAGATTGTGTTTAACAGGTTTATCAAAGCTGCCTGGAGACTAAAGCAGTCAAGGTTAAGTGAAAAGTTTTCATTGAATGACTTTTTTATTCACAGTTTGAAGTATGACTTCTGTAGGGTCTTTACTGCATTGTTTACGCAGTGTTGGAGGAAAATAGATGCACCGTGGGCTGGAGAGAAACATCTTTACGGTTTCTTGATCATAAAAAGCTTTAGTTGAAATAAACTGAATGGAATTGAATTGAATGTTAACCCTCCTCATCAGTCAGACAGAGCTTTTGGTGTGCAGCCGTGTAGAGACATTACAGCGCTGCCTTCACTTGTCAGGACTCAGTCACAAGTTCTTTACGCTTTTCATAACACTGATTTGCTCACAGGACTCGTGTGAATCACTCTAAATTCTTCTGCTGTTCTCGCTGCAGGGGCGGTCAGAGGACAAATTCAAAGCTTCTTTGAAATAATATTTTCATTTTTTAGGTTTGTGTGGTTCAGATCTTAAATTCAATCACCCCTGGAGATCTCAGCTGGAACTGGAGCTCCAATGAATAAAGCTTTATGTGTCATTATTTTCAAAAGTCCTTGATGTACAAAAAAGAAGAGAAAGTTCAGAGGGTTTGAGACTGAACTTTTAATAAACAACATTAGTGCCACAAAACTCTGAGAAATAATACTGATACTGTGTCTGAAATTTTGCTCTGCCTGACACTTGAAATGTCTGATCATGGACAGTGACTCTGAAGGGCTAAAAATAGCCTTTTCCTGTCATTAGCAGCTGCTCATTGTCATTGTCACCTGTCTTTTTTACAATGGAAACATGCCCTGATTGTGTATTTAAATCATCCCCCTTTCTAACCCTCTGATTGGCTGAAAGAGCTCTATTACATGAACAGTGTATATTTGATTTCAGCTGAATGACACCTGCACCTCCTGTTGTTCATCATTGAAGATGATCCCATCTCTCTCTTTCTCTTACTGTTGATCTACTCCACTATGTTTCAAAATCTAATCCGGGCCGTCTGAGATACTGAGCGAGCTTTTGGGCAAACAGACAACTGAACAAATGAAACTCTCCTCCCAGAGGATTTCATTACAGACGGGCAGCTGTGAGCTTCATCTTCAGACAGCTTCTGGCTGCTGTTTGGAGAACAACATCAATATTTCTCCAGTAATTGGTGAGATGACGCTTCATGCCCCTTTTCATATCATTTTTTAGTTTGGTACTATGGATAATTGAAATCCATCTTTTAATCTACAAACATCCACCAATATCATGATACTGAATGAATATCTAACACTTTCTTTTTATCAGACATTTGTTCCTGTCTCACACAACCAGTAAAAGTCAAATTAAGTAAAAGCCTCATTATTTAAAAACCTTTATTTTTACACTTAAAAAACTACCATTCACAAAAACAAACAAACAAGCATCATGCCTGTATTGTTGAAGGCCTCTTCCGTTATCTTCCCATTGCATGGTTTGTACATCCTTAATCCCTTTCCTACTCTCTTCTCCTTGCATCTCAGTCCACATCTAACGCAGAGCTTAGAACCACTATTTATGTACAGTTGTAGTCCAGTCTAGCAGATTCAGAAAGTTGGGACCCATCAGGCCCCCAAACTGATCATTTCATCAGACATTGACATTACATTACAGAGACATTGACCAATAAGATCAACGTGCTCTGATACAAAAATCACTACCGTAAACAACAATATGACAGAAGAAATGTATGTCTAGGTCTGGCAACAACGTTATGTGTCATCAAGAGATAACCATGGCCCACTGAAAACAGGAACTGCTGGTATGAGTTACCCTCAATTTTCACCGAATCTGGAACGACTGCGTAAAGGCTGTATGCCCCAATCGCAGCTGATCGTTTCCATTCAAGTTAATGTGTCAATTTCCACTTCTTTCTGTTTCACTGCAGTTCAGTGGACTACGCAGCCGATCGCAAGAGTCCTATTTTTTTCCGTATGCTGCACACATAAATAAAGCACAGATTGGCCTGTGCTGGAAGGGAAGTCAGACACAGACGCGAATAAAAACATCCGGCTTCTTTTCAAAATAAAACACTACGTGTTCCAGGCAGATCGTATTTCGCACCATGCAAACGGGCAGGGATGAACAAGTCAAAGGTTTCCAGACTTCATTTCACCCCATTTACACCATAGATGAGAAGATGCTGATTCTGGAAGTCTAGAAGTGGATTTCCTCCTCTGGAAGGACACAATCAACTGCTTATGTGGTTATGTGGCTGTCTTCATATAGACAACTCCTTATTGCGCGATTGCATGTGAATTTGCAGGTTCTTGTGAGTTCTCGCGATTCCTGCTGTCTGATATCCGCCACAAAGTTCGTCTCACAAACGCATC